AAGTCCACTCTATACCCTATAAAATCTAAAAACAAAAAAGAGAGTTCAAGCAGCTTCTAAAGTAAAGGGAGACAGTCACTTGTATCGGAATACTGTTTTCAGCACTTTATTTTATAATTACACAAATTCCATACTTCCTTCTGAACTACCTTCATTTATACAGTTCCTTATCCACTGATACCTTGCCCACACTTACTTTTCTTTAACACATTAGTATGCTCTTACCTTATAAGTACTTCAGTAACAGACAAATAGACTAAACGGTTATACCTTAACTATTCCTCCATGAATATTGTGTGCTCTGCTTTTCGTCCTTCCTTTTTTACACCTTTTTCAGCCTCCTGCAGATACTCCACCGAAAACAGATTTGGCACGAGCGACTTTGTCCTACACCGTTATTAAAGCTTCCGATATTCTGGAGAGATATAAGTGCGGAACTTCTAAAAGCCCACAACTTCGCATGTATCTATTCTAGACCATCAGTTGTATGTTGCAACGCTACCTCCAAGTGTGGTATTGATATGTTTCTTACGAAATCCATTTACATTCATATCTTATAAAATATCAAGTAATTTTCAACATTGAAAATTGTAACTTCTTTAACAATTTGATCTTGCCTGTAAACCGGCATGCCTCATGTAACAAACTGTTATTTGAGAATAAATTATTATTATTATTATTATTATTATTATTATTATTATTATTGAAGTACCTACCAACTCTTAAGGCGAGATCCAAGTGGCTAGCCACCAGAAGGAATCTACAACCGTGAGATTTGTTCTTAGTAAGCAATACTGGTTCACCGAGAAACCAGTGGTAAAAAGTTATAGTTAGACAGGTCAATTGAGGTCCAGATGGACGAGTGAGAACAGTTCGAGTGAAGACAGCAACCAAAGAGATCAGCCGGGATGAACAGAACCTGTCTACTTGGAGAAGCCGATTATATAAAGGCGACAGTAGTGAAGCCAGGATGTGGTATCCGCTTGAAAGTGAATGTTAGTCATGTCCATAACTAAGCAATCAAATCGTTGCTGAAGCTCCCACTACGTCAATCTGGTCTGATGTGTCTGTAAACTTTCCCTGTTGCATGTGACCCACCAATTGAAAAACATTATTATCCTATTATAATAATGTGACTCAAGTTTTATTCATTCCGATAAGACAGACAATACTGGTCGGTATGTTTGTGCTTTTCATTTAATAATTGTAATTCTTTAAGTACTGTACTAATCTAGCTGTTTTTATGTTTGGAAACAAGTAATGTTTAAAGCCAAGTTTCCCTTTTCCTGACTATAGTTTTCACATAGACTCTGGGATCGCTAGTATCTCGTTTACAGTTCTAGTAGTATACCTGTAGGGCAAATTAAAACCTACAACAAACGCACTCACTTATGCCAAAAAAGTAGCCTCCAACTAATTATTAACTGATCAGTATTATTGGAGTACAATGGCCAAAATACTTTAACTGGACGCTACCAAAAATCTGGAATGATATCAAAATATCAAGAGTGAAGATGTTTTATTTGTTTGCACTAGATCGTCACAAGGTTACTCGGCATCCTTCTCTATATGTTACTTAAAGCCCCTTGTTACCTGTGAAAGGAATTTAGAATGGAAGTTCGATTATGAATATCGCAAGAAAACGTTTTGCAAATTACTGTTACATAGTATAGTTCGTCCAAAATTTGAAAATAACAGTTGTCTATTTGGCTGAAATGAACAGTTAATTTCAAACGTACTTCGTCAGAGATAACGGATCAATTTTTTAAACTTCGCAAAACTAGCAAGCAGTGAAAAATATTTTGGAGAAGGAGTTATTCGCAATTAGTTTATTTCTAGCACTTTAAATGTACACATGGTAAAATATGAGTCAGTGAATAATTGTGCGCTTATTAACTATTATGTGAGATTTCATTAAATATGTCGTTAAAACAGATACGTCGCTGTCAAAGGAGAGATATTGACACCTGTAGGACACACCTATGAATTCATTTCATTTAAGTAAGAGAGCTTCTTCTATAATAAATATATTTTTGTCATATCCCGATAAGTAGAAAATTGTATTTCTGACGTTTCGTGACTCTGTGTAAGCTACTTCTCCAGAGTAAATAAACAGCCGAAATTAAATTAACACATGTTTAAATAGTACAAAGGAATTGATGCAAAACCTTCTTAGTATAACCAAAATCATAATAGGTCTGAATATGTCAATGTCAAGTAATTTCTGGTCAGAGTGAATTTGTAACTTGTGTTACGCTCAAACCAACTTCTCATACTCGTTTTATTTTTACTATGCATATGCGACTCACACATATCGATTATTTTTTGCACTTAGTGTAGAATTTCATAGCATCACTCCAAACTATGACTGCATGAACACTTATTCTAAAGTCATATATTGACGCAATAATAAGTCATTTACTTATTAATTTATTTTGCTTCATTTTATTTTTATTACTCATTTGGAGATATATACATAGTCTTTTATTCTTGTTCTGTGTTTATAAACACACTTATTAAACTATTTACGTATTTCGCGTCTCCTTTATTTCTATTTCCTTAGTTTCTTCCTTTCCTTTTTCAAGATCAGTTCAATATTCTTCTCAATAACACAGAAGCTTCAATACTAATACTATTCTTCTATTAATATTTTTTCTTCTTTCTTTTCCCTTTTTTAAACATGGCACATATAATGCCAACATTATTGCAACTTGTGTATTATTGTATCTTTGAAGAAACCCGAGATGGTTTCTTCACAACACTTATTTAAAAAAAGATTTTTGTGAATAATAATAGTGTGCCTACCTAATCTATAAGATCTTACGTGGAAGACACATCATTGTCTACACTTACTCTTTCCACAACAGTCATCACCAATATATGATGGAGAACACACAATATATATAATATGAATAAAAGATCTGTTACACAGAATGATCACGCCTGTAAGTTTGAGCCATGCCATTCAATTAGTTAAGTTTCGGACGAACCTTCCGGCGTTCATCCTTATTAAACTCCTCTTGGTGTTAAATACTGAAAGTTCATTTTCCCAGTTATCTCATGTTCATCTTTGAGAATTGTGGTAAGGATCAGTACCACTGCAAACCACAGCTTCATATTTTCTGCGTGAATAACAAAAACTCTTACCACCCAGGTTCCAATAATAACGCAACGAAATCACATCCATCCGCTTTCTTGATGTTATCTCTGGGTTTGTCTGTCATATCAATTATGAAATGAAATACCCCCATGAAAAACAAATAGCGGTTGGTATTTATCAATAACATGATAGAGGAGAAACAGCCTTCACAGACTATGTATTCTATTTATGAGAAACTATCATTGTTCGTCATTAGTCTAAAGGTGTTTTTAGTGGTACATCGAGAAGTCGTCTAGAGAGGTGAATTCAAAAGATAGTCAAGTAATAAGCCTCATTATAGTCACTCTTCATATGTTTCCATGTGAAAGAAAAGTTGTCACGTTTTAACGACTCAATATGTATATTCTTATTCCTCATCGCCTGTGTAGCCAGTTACTTAGATTATTGGACCAAGCGTCTTATTCAGTGCATCTGGGGTGATGTTTAAGTGTAGTTTAACAAGGAGGAATACTAGTCCGGGACGTCAATTACCCTTCAACATTAGGTAGATACCAAATATTCATGTTCATCCTTTGTCATTTGAGTGACCTGCTGTCTGACTCCAATTTGAATGAGTATATGAATGCCATGAATATATAAGCCTTACATTTTTAATTTCTTATATTGCACATGAGCTAACCTCGCTTGTGCAATGGCGGTAATGAAAAGCCAAATACGAGTAGAATTGAATGAAGTTGCTTTTAGCACTCGTTTATCCAGACTGGCAGTAAGAGTGGAGAGTGCAAAAGCAAAGCGTAGTGAAACGTATAAAGCAATTATGCCAACACAATTTGATAAAGCGTGACTCAATATCTATAACCTGATGAAAATAAGCTAAAGATACTTGATAAGCAGAGTGAGTGAAATGCACATATACCCTCACGTGAGAACAGCCAAAGTTGATAAGCGAATGACTGACAAATTGAGATTTGACTCAAAAAGAATGAATTGGTCTGTCCGGAAGCTAGGATAATCCATGTAGTCCCAGCAGTAATAGAAACTACATCGTCTATCGAAACGGCTTACTGATGTCAAGGTGTTTGTTCGTAAAACTTTTGTATATTGCGGAAGTTTTGTTCATTCGTAATTTTTTGGTTGCACAAAGTCTCTAGAATTTTTCCTTACCAATGGAGCAACGTCAAGATATGCAATCTCATGATAGACGGTCAGACACATACACCACTTATTCGATCAAGATCTTGGAGCCTATATTCACTAATAGTTTGCAAAAGATTTTCAACCCCACATACACCAACCCAATTTAAGTACAGGACATTCGGTTTTCGTCCTCTCACTTCCAAAAACAACACTCTCTAGGAGAAGGTAGTGTGTAGGACACTTTTCGTACCAGGACATTCTGGAAGTCCCCTATTTACCATGGCCTCGTTTGTAGCTTCATTCATGTTCTTTTAAAATTTGACTTCCATGTTTACAATAATGGATCTATTTTAACATATTTTGTTATAGTAACAAAGATAGTTTCTTATCCAGTTTTTTGACCACTGTTGAAGCATCCTTATTTCAAATCGATGGTACTCATAATTGCTCTATTTACCCGACTGATTATATCTTTCTTATGTTTCATATATTCTCTCTAGTAGCTTTTTGTCTAATGAATAATAACAATATAAATTTCGTATAAATAAATAAACCTTATCAAACATTATCCGTTGGACCATAATTTAATATGCACATGAGATTTTAGTGCTGAATGACCTACTTTAATCTTACGAATGGCATTATAGATATTGTGACTTGTTAATATGCCTATCTTTCCATTTAAAGAACCTGTGAGTAATGAAGGTTTGTCTATAGAGCTAAGCACAGGATGATGCAGCAAATGTCACAGTGTACTATTGAACAAAATGTTTCACTACACAACACTTAAAGCTTGGCGTTACTGGGTATGACCTTGCAGTTTTCAGATTGACTTTTGGCCAATGACAACGGTCAAAGTAAGGAGTTTCGCTTTTAAAAAGTCTACGAGTCAAATGTTTATGTATAAAAGTATTCTAATAGGACGTAAATTCCTGGTTGATTTTTTCTCGAAGTCTGACCTCAAACGTTCCAAATAGTCGCTAGGATGATCAACTAAGAAAAATTGTCCCTGTAATAATGCTCTTGAAACAAAATAATAAATTATTAGTACTCTTCGTCAACTTGTAGGACGCGACCAAATCGCTTATTTTAAATATAGAAAACGTGCTGAAATTTTACAAGGTTATCTTTCATGTAAAATTTTCAATAAAAGAAATAAGCATTGTATGTTGTTTTTCTCTCACATAACTTCCTCATCGTACAATGTGACAAAAAGCTTTCTATTCGAAGTGACTTAATGTATAAATGAAGTAGTTGTCAGTGCGTAAATTACATTATCGTTTAAATTTTGTTTGTAAAGCGATAGTCATTAACTTGATTCTAATTGGCCCGGGAGTGTAGTAATAAGACGCACTTATCGGGCCTGTTACTGAAGGGTTAAATTGACTTTGATACTACTATGTAATCTAAATGCCTAACGATTAGTGTTAGGTACTGTAGTTCATTTTCATAAACGTAGTTAGGTAGACGAAAAATGTGCACTGAGATCTTACAGTGTTATTACGATAATATGCGTAACTTAATCCATTTAAAGCCTCTCCTGTAAGCCCAACCCCGCACTCTCTTATTCTTGGATCCACTCAGCGACTACATGCGGCCGGCCCGACCGTTGTTGCTACCTTGATGTGGCGGTCGGGCTTGCCTATCGTGATTAGCCAGTCGAGCTATACTGGCTGGAACAATCGTTCATCAAGGTCCTACCTTGCCAGACAGGTCGGTTGAAGAGCGTTAAGACTAAACTCAGCAAACCCAAGTCGTTCTGCTGACTATACGGAGGTGTGACGGTAGTAAGGTATTTTCTTCAGACAACCAGCATAAGAGCGATGCTGTGGTTAGAAAAGGCTGACCCTAAAAATGCATACCTCGCCTTATCCCACGTATATCTATTTCCGGCGGTAAGATCTCCACAAGTACGGAGCTAACACAAACATTACTCTCTAAAAAGTCATTTGTTACTGACCTCAAACAGTTGTCCCTTGGGCATTGCGTTCACGCTCCCAGGTCGTTAAGACCAGCATTAATCCAATTTCCTTTTCAAGTACCTCCAAAAGAACACTTCCATGGTGTGGGAAACCGGTACGTGATAACCACGTTCATACCTCTAACAACACTCAAGATCACTGTATTCATAATCAATCTCCCTCTTCAATTCCTATTATTCTTCTTACATCAACTTTTAACACTAAACTTTCTCTTTCGGATTCCTCCTCAAGTGTCACCATGGTCAACGATTCTAGATCTACTAGAACCTCTCTCCAAACTACACATTGGAGCCTTTAACGTACGCATCCTATGTCAAATTGGCCAGCAGATCTCCTTGGCAAAAAAACCCTAGAATCTCGTACCATTCATGTATGCTGTGTCTCTGGAATACTCATGCAGAATCCTAGTGTTGTCATCCACCTGACCTCACTTCGCCAAAACGTGGAGCCGACAATATACGCACTCCGCGTATCTAGCGACCCCATGAATAGTTCTTGTGGACTCGCAGGTGTAGGCATAGCACTTAGTACCAGAGCAGAACAAGCACTATTAGAATGGATCTCCGTTAACAGTCGCCTATGTGCTGTCCAGCTAAATGGCTCCGTAAGAACTCGGAAGTATAGGGGCACACGTCGTTTCTGTCTACGCTCCCATTAACTGCAGCACGGATGAAGTGAAATATGACTTTTACAGAAAGCTCTCAGACATAATACTCGTAACAGGTGACTTTAATGCTCGAACCAAACAGAAATATATTTAGGTGGGTATTTAATATTCCGGCTCAGCAGACAAATAATGGTGATCGTCTGTTGCAACTGTGCTCAGACAATCGTTTTTTTAGCAAACACTGATTTTAAGCATAAGGAGAGAAATAATCTAATATGGCGACCACCTGCACCTAACCAACGATGGACTCAAATAGACCATATTGCCAGCAGTCATCGTTAAAGGGGCTTGACAAAAGATTGTCGCTCCCACTGAAATACATGTTTAGACTTTGATCGTGCTTTAATACAAGCACGCATTTGTTTGCGCCTCACTGGACGCAGAAAAACTACAATAAGAAGACCCATTAGAATTAAACTGGGGGACGAGAAAGCAAAAAGTAAGTTCCAGGAACAACTGAGTTCATATCTAAGCAGTTCTGTAAACGAGGCTTGCCCAGATGTGGCTTGAAAAGATATACGAACGGCTGTGGTAATAGCAGTAACATCTATTAGTAATTTAAACCAAAGCGTTACAAAAACCAATGGATTTCTTGTAAATCTATTGCACTGATTGATTCTCGTAAACTCATCTCATCAGGCTTTAAACATGACGAAGAACGAAAGCAAATCAGATCGAGGTTAAACAAAAGTCTGCGGAATGATCGTGAGCAGTGGTGGGCAGCAAAAGAAATGGAAAAGGCAGTGGCTGTAGGCAACTTCAGACTAATAAAAAAACCAGAATTAAGAAGTCAATTGTAAACGCGACAATCTCAGAAAAAGATTATACTCTCATCTGCTCTCAGCACATACGTTTGGAAGGATTGGCGGAACACTTTAGCTTGCCTTCAGTTACTCTACAGTTACCCACCATTTCCAAACAGTCTGAATGAAACATTGAAGTAGGTCCCCCAACTTTAGATGAAGTTCCAGAGGCTATAGCTAATCTGAAACGAGGAAGAGCAGCTAGTCCAGATGGATTGGCTCCAGAGGTCTTTAAATATGGTGGTCCGATTTTAGCGATTAGGTTGACTAAAATCTGGGAGACGGATGTAATCCCATCCGACTGGTCACAATCACTTATTGTCCCAATATATAAGAAAAGACCAAAATCATCCTGTGATAACCATAGAGGGATTAGTCTGACTAACATAGCATCTAAAATACTAGCCTCAATAATTATCGGGCGCCTAAGATTCGTGAACTGCAAACACGAGAAAATCAGGCTGGCTTCAGACCTGGTAGTGGCTGTATCGACATATTCACTATTCGTCAGGTTTCAGAACACAGGTATGCTTATCGGCGTCAGACAATGATAGTTTTTCTTGACTTAAAAGCAGCATTTGACTCTGTAGACCGAGAGGTTCTGTGTCAGTGTCTGGCATTGAAAGGTGTACCTGAGAAGTACATAAACCTTGTGAAGGCTCTTTACTCGAACACTACCAGTCTAGTCAGAGCTTAGAGGCGAACTGTCATCTGATTTTACAACCTCAAGTGGTATCCGACAAGGCTGAGGTTAGACACAGGGTATTAGGGAATGATGGTAAATCATTTGATGAGGCCATGAACCTTCATCAACTGAGATGGTTGGGCCACGTGTTACGTATGCCTGAACACCGATTACCACGACGCGCTATGCTGACTAGTATTGGCGATGGTTGGGAGTTAGGGGCAGCCAAACCAAAACATGACATCAGTGCTTGAAGTCACTAACTTTTAGTCTGAGCCGTGTTGATAGATGCAGACTACTTGTTTGCGGCCTGCATGACTATCGTAACCAATGGTTGGAGACTGAGTGACATGACTCAGAACCGATCACAATGGCGTAGGTGTATACACTCTTTGTCTTCCCTTAAAACGTGAGATTAAAATTGCTTCATATCTTTCTTTTTTTCTGCACTATATCCTTACATACAATTTTTCTTTTACATATTACTTTTATTTTATTTAAACACATAGATATTGGTACAAGGAAGCATCAGATAAATATGCGCCACACAAATCTCATTCGATTTGTGTGAGGGCTGTGATACTGCTCAGGTGCCCAGACTGAAGCAGGTGGTTTTCTTAGGGGGCCACACCTCGAGCCTTTGACCTAAAGGTCTGATCCACAAGGCAGTGCAGCATCGTGAGGAGATGCATTCCCATGGTAGCCGGTGACCAACAATAGGTTCATACACCATTTGTTCCTTCAGGATAATAGAGCCCATGTGCATCATTGGTTTGGAATCGGGGTTTTCCAACTCTCCTAGGTGAACTTTCCGTGTCCACCAACCCGGTTAAAGCGCCGGACATTCACTTTTCGTCCTCTCACTTTCGTAAACAACACCCCCGCCACGAGAAGGCAGTGAGTAGGACTTCCATGGCAGAGGCTATATATTCGCTGGCCATATGAAAGCATTTCGAGAGGGAGAGGTGACTCTCCCCACTCTCGGCCGTACCAGGTCATTTGGGGGTAAAACTACCATTAAATTAACTACTTCTATGAATTCGGTGTTCATCTTGTTGTGCTAATGAGGTATGCCAACTTGGACCGATGCATATATGTGCCTGATCCTACGTTGTAGCTGACTGACTGACATACAGCTAGCGGCAGCCGTGTGAGGCAAAATGTTGAATTTTAAATTCCTGTATGTTTCCATGTAACTGTTGACTACGGATTGTACGTGAATAAGTATGATCTACCTTGCTAATTGAACCTCTAAACAATATTTTGAGAAGGCATTTTTATCGTTAAGTTAGTTTTATAATCTAAAAGCTGATAACTGGGCGAGTGGAAATCTGTCACTTGGAGCATCTCGTGACTACAATACAGAATCTATGTTGCTTAGTATATTTAAACGTTTTTTAATGCAAAATTGATGTATAAAGTAAGGATTGAGAGGTGTTATCCGTAAAGTACTATCGCTTCAGTGGAAAATAACAGACTTATTAGGTAGTGTAAAATAATCCGTCATACAACACTTTTGGATGGTGAGAGATATATTTCTCAAAATTCATTCTTAGGTTGAAGGCGGCTACATTACATTATGATTTAGTTCTTAAGTAATTGGTTGGAGGTGCTGCTTTGTAAGACATGATCACTTCAGTTGTATATAAGCAAATTTGAAAAATGTTTTCAACCTTTGGTGTATTTCAATTATTTTTAGCACGATGGCAGAAAATTAGAATCAGCTTAATAGAGGCTAATAAAACAAAGCCGAGTCTCTTGTTTTCAGTTAACGGTACCTCGGAAAAAGATATATCCTTAAAGTCAGACTCTGATTTTGCTTTGGATTCGGGGGTCACGTTCAATGGGGTTTATGTAGCTTTTAATTAGCTGAGCCAAATATGGCTTCGAAAGTTTGTGTTATAATCAAATAGGTCGGATCAATTAAACATAAAATGTGCCACTTTCGTCTTATCAAAAATGTTTAGTCTTCCTTTTAAACTATTCAAACTCCAGTAAGATGACTATTATATCTGTAGGGACCCAATGCTCCCTAAATAACGAAGATGTGATTATCAGTCTGTTAGTGGTAACTAGCCGTTTGTCGCAATATTTCTCTTCATCAACCATAAACATTTTACTAAGCTTCTCACGTTGAAGTATTTATTGTTGGTCAGATTTCCTTTCTAGACAAACCTTAAATCTTAGCGATTTATAACACAAATGTCTGAAATTGCGACGCATCGAACGCCAATTAGCATTTTACAAGAAGTGTGCGTGAAGAAAGGAATAACTCCTATCTACGAACTTGTGTCAAATGAAGGACCGGTCCATGAGCCACTTTATGTATTTTTATGCACAGCCGGTCCATTCAGTGCCACCTCTAAAGGTAACTGGTTCACTTAGCTGTTCATTTTTCTAATCAGGAGCGAGTAAGAAGAGAGCCAAACATCAAGCATCATACTTAATTTTGCTAAAGATGCTGAACAGTAGGCTATTGACAGAGTCGGAAAAATACACTCTGCAAGATATACATATTGCCGCAGTCAACGTTCTAGGGTCTGACTTTATGGATTCACTTGATGATATAGAACTGGATGGTCTACCAAATAAAATAAAACAAGAAGGGGAAGGTAACTTTGTTGGACGGCTACAAGATTTGTGTCAGAAAAATACCTGGCCACCACCATCCTATGAATTCTTAACTATACCTCAGTCTACCCCATCGGGCAATGAATACAGTTGCAAAGTTAGGCTGTGGAAATGGACTCATACAGGTAAAATTAACTTTTTCGTGAGAGTATTACAGGATTTGGGAATTCTAAAAAATCTGCAAAGCGACGCGCAGCCCTTGGACTTTTAGATAATATTATCAAAAATAATCTGACTATACCTCAAGAGGCTTTGGATGATATGGAAGAAGAAACCCTTTCTTTAGTAAGTTATCGATATCCTAATTTAACAAAAACTAGCTTGATAAACAGGACCAGTCTAATCTGAAGGAAAATAAATTTGAAAATGAGGCAACTGCTCGTACTTCTTCCAAAGCTCTTCGTGGTTTATGGAATAGGAAAGGTGGTAAAATACGAGTTCCACCTATTGATAATCCTGATAAGATGAATAATGCATGTGAATATCTTCAAGAGATTTGCGATTGTGCAAAAATTACTGTTGTATATACATACGTTCCTGCAAACAGTCAGGGTATGCCATTCATCTGTTTACTTTTCAGAATTGTTTGTACCTAATTAAACTTCAGTAAGCTACGTTACAGAATAGTCTTTACTAACTCCACAAATTATGTAGCGACGATCCATAAATCAAAATATGGGTCACCGTTTCAAGCGAAGGGTGATGATGGTAGCCAGTCTTTGTAGCTGATAAGATCTAATAGAAAAGCGAGTTTTCATACCACTTAGGGCAGTATAAAGGATAACAGTCCTGATTTTGGTTTCCAGAATCTTGGTATTAAGTCTCCATAAATGGATTCCTTTATATTAATGACCTGACACTAATTATTTTTAGATGGGATATACTAGACTGTACTTTTAAAATGGTAGGGTTTTAGATGTTTTGAGTATTACTAAAATTTGACAAAATTAACGATGTTTTTTCTAAACCAATACGTTGGAATGTACACAGGTATCAGCAAAATGGTTACAACTAATTGATATGTTTTCTAAAAGCATATCAATTTGAAACATTATTTGTGTAACCTTTGGAGTTACGCTGTAAACCATCATTTACATAAATTCATAAAGTACTAACACGACAATAAAAGATACATATCTAAAATATAAACGACACAGAGGTACAGGTAATTTAGGCTACTTAAAAAATGGAATATCACAAGTTCGGTTTATGTGCAAAGAAAAAGAATTCTTCAGACGGTTTTAATTTCCAAGTGACAAATTGTAAACACCTACTAACGTTCGAAATTTTTTCGGCGGAATTTGAGATGTTAATTCACAAATCATAAGCATCAATATAACGCATGAATTTAAACTGAACAATGTGAAAGTAGCTGCTACTAACTCTTATCAAAGAGCTCACATGATTACCATTGACTCAATAAATACAAGAGCTTCAAAGCTACAGTAGTTGCATAAAATGAAATACTAATTCTTTCTTTTGATTAGTGTGGCTTTGGTATACAGAAGTAATTAGAAACCAGTATTTTTTTTCTCCAAATTGACCTGTCATCAAACACTGGAAAAGTAATTAGTAATCCGGGTTACATGATCGCTTTATTTGACAGACTTCGTTTTTCACTTTAGATTCGATACAAGTAATTATATATCCGCTATTATTTCACGCTTTTTAAATTTGAAGTGGCGTTTAGCACAACGTTTTATCTATGAATTTTAAGATAAATTGATTATTCTACTTTACGAAATCCGTCAATTAATACTGAGTTATTTATATATTTCTTAGGGATGATCTGCTGTTTTGCGGAACTTACCACGCTACCACCACATGTTATCAAAAGTCGGTTGTCACCAAACCTGGCAAGTGCACGTAAAGATGCTGCTCGCAGATGTATACTGTTTCTAAAGGCTATGTCATCTACAACACCTTGCCTTAACTACAGTGAATGGTTTACAGCTTCCCCTGATGACTTGAAATAGATTATATATATATATATATATATATATATATATATATACCTATCTTGTTTTTGATTACGCTCGTAAGCATCAAATTTAATATGATCCAGGGTAGTGAAAATGAGTGTATCTCTTGTAACAGAAATATATGATGACCCTTACAGTATAACCTCCCTAAAATGCTGTTTCACGATGCAGTTTAAAGATTCAAACGGTAAGATAAGAGATATATATTTGCAAGGATAAATCTTAGCAAGCTGAAAAAATAAACATTTTACTTTATAATTTTAATGTTAGAATTCGGTCGGTGTGCCATTTTGGTTACTTTGGCCATGGCTGTTTGCCGCTCATCTACTTTCCCCTTCTTTGGAGGATTAAGTTTTGATCTTATTCTCATTAACTTTCGACGATGTCGCCGACGGTCAGCAAGAGTGCGCTCATTTTTACCAATAAGTATTTCACCTCTTGGTGGACAAATCTCTTCTGGAGCTAGAAGATTGGCTGTTGAGACGACTGTAGGTCCAGATTCTTCTAATTTTGATGCTGCATCATTCTTGGCAGACGTGGAAGCAGGTATGTACTAGAATTAGAATTAAGGTAGAAAGGCAATTGACAAACTAAACATTTTATCAGAGTTTTGGTGGAAGAACCGCAACATAGAAAGTATGGTTAAAAAATATTCCTTATCAGTGTGTTTCATAAGTTTTCAATCTATCAATTCATCTGTAGTAAATTTCATATGAAACAGATCGATCGAATGTTTACGCATATACTTAAACGTCTGTTAAACAAACGTTACTACTAAAACCATTTCCGATAACGAAAGTTGAAAAATATATTCATGAATATGTGATCACATTTCAAAGTGGAAGGTATGTATATGTTGAAAGTAATTAATCATCAGATGTCTACCAAGCATTACTTGCGTAATGTGCAACCGCTTAGTAAACAAGGCTAGTGTTAGACATAAAGTAATAAGGTAATAACGTCTACCGTGATGGATATAAAAGCGTACTAATTAAGTTAACTTTTTTATGTTATGTGTGAAACATGCAAAGTTACTGGCGAACCATATAAGCAGTAATTGTTTAACCAAAAAATGAAAAAGAGGATAAATAATATAGGAGATCGACACTAATGTTTATTTGTCTTAATCATCACACTACATCAGCAGAGCGAGAGCTTGTGTAAACCAGAACAATATCGACAGTAGTGGTGGAATAGCTCATGAGGAACAAGTTAAATCAAGGAATAAGACGTATGAAATAACTTAGCTGAGGATTTACAAGGTGTAAAATACATGTATCTGTACTACACCAACTATAAGCTATGCCACATGACGTCTCCAGATGAGAAGTTTGAACTATTCGATACAGATATATGGTGATTTTATGGGTTGGTGTCATTTCTCTGTCTAGCCGTTACTTTTCAATTATTTTATATGATCCCCAGCAACCCACCACGGGGTACTCAGTGGCAGGTCATCTTTTGACTAGCTTAGTCGATGAAGGTTTTCAACGGATTTACCACTAGTACCCAGCACCTTGCACACAATCTTGTCATCAATCACCTCGTTCTAAAACTATGTGGGAGCTGTTATGAATGCGATATTAACTAATGTCTATAGTATATCCCCCAATCAGAACCTGGTCTACAGCCTAACGTCCTAAGCTCTGAGCAAACATACTCTGTGACTGGCAAAGTTTTGATTTGCGATTGAGGTCATCTTAACTCTCATTCGGAAGCCGATACGCACTTTTTCCATCTCATCTTAAGTTCGAGTTAGAGAACACCGCAGACAGATTTCAGACACCCAATCATTCTAATTCGGACATTCAGCTTGTATACGTAAGTTATCATACCCAAAACATCCCCTAGATAAGAGCATCCTCTACACACAATCAAATCATAAATCAATGAGAATGGAGCAAACAAATAATTAAAAATCAAAGAATGGTAAAACATATTACGTTAGTTAGTAGGTTGAATGGAATGTAGAAATGCAATAATCTGTTTGATAACTGCAATAAAAACAAACACATCACATGTCCTCTGACAAACAGAACATCTTGCCCACACAACATATCTCAAGGCTCAAAATCATTAAGTTTGTTTCTAAATCGAGATGGACGAGAGACTAAACATTTTGGAAACCATGGTAATTGAACTAATCCTTTCATGGTCAACTACACCCAGAGGTCATTTTAGGCTACCACATGAGTCCTAGGTGGGTTTTTAAACACAATGAGCAGAATGGTTCTGTTATTTAGGTGAGTGGTCGCACATGTCTTCTGTATCTGAGTTTCGGACACTATACAATAATGGGACGAAGCTTTGATATCTTGAACAATAGGACCTACTCTTAAAATTGATAGAATTTAAACATTTGTAAGTCACGTCAAGTAATGTGTAGAGTAGTTTTGAGAAATCACTAGTAATGTATCGTAAGGATATGTCGTTAGAACCAGAGACATAACGAATGTGAAAATACGTAAGAATGTTTTAGGTTGGTGATAGAAAAAATAAGAAAGCAAAGAAGAGGTCTTAGAGTGAACAAGAAGAACTTTAGCACTTCTAAGGATATGATGGCGACTGGTTCTTTCAGGTTGCTAACAGGGAAAATTTTTATCGATAGGCAACAATCAGATTAAAAGGTAGTATTGTTACACATAACTTATCTATGTTAATAAACATCAGTGATGTTGATCTAACTAAATAAGGATTTATAATTTACAAATGTGAGAATCAGTCAGTCACAACGTAGAACTTCGTACGTACATACATCAGTTCGAGTTGCCATACCACATTAACACAGAGATGCAGTTGTCGATACAAATCCCATAGTGGTAAAAGTAGTAAGAATATAAGCAGTAATCCGAAAGATTAGGGTTTGAAGATGTTAATGAAGGAGTATAATCCAGTGAAATAAATTTGGAGGAAAAAAACATTGAAAATTTAGAAGATTAGGATTTGGCAGAACACGAAGAGTGGATGCACCTTCACCATTGCAAATGATTTTGAGCCATATCATTTAAGATCTCTAACAATCGGTTGCTATCATCTTGCGGGTCCCAACCAGGTGGTCTACACCTACCAACATGGCTCAGTCCATTTGTCAGTGACTTCATGGATTTGTACCATGTTTTAGTCTGGCCGCCCCTAGCTTTCTTCCAACCTACTCCTACACCATAAGACATTGCACGTCGGGGCAGTCGGTGGTTGGGCATACGTAACACGTCCCAGCCATCTCAACTGGTGAAGTTTAACTACTTCGTCAATCGATTCGCCATTCTTACCTAGCACCCGTTTCCTAACAACTGCATTACTTACTCGGTGGTCCCAGGATATGCGAGCAATGCTCCGAAGACACCTATGATCGAAAACTAGCAGCCTACGAATATCCTCTACTCTTATCGGCCATGTTTCACTGCCATAAAGTAGGACGGAACAAACTGCTGCACAGTAAACCTGTCCTTTTGTTGCTAGACGGATATCTCGCCTACGCCATAAATGACGCAAGTTGGCGAAAGCTAGACGAGCCTTCTGTATTCGTGCTGAGATTTCGTCAAAAACCAGACCAGAATAGTCAAACATACCTTATATGGCACAAAGTGAAGACTAGAAAGTCTATCTAACTTGTCGAAGAGCTCCAACATTTCAGCCTGGATTGCATTCTTTTGTGGGTCTCCTTGGTCTTCTTCAAGAATCTAGAAATAAGATGTTATATGTAGTTTCTACCTGATTTCTCTTGAGAAAACCTTCATACTCTTCTACCAGTGACTTTTGAACAACATTTTGTAGTGGAATTTCTTTAGAAGGTCCTTTAACTTCCTTAACTTTGAAAACAGGACTGTCAAACATCTGTAAAATATCACTGCTTAGTATTTCACTAACTCTTTCTTTGATGGCTTTAATAATGTAGTCATTTATAACAGTTTCGTCATGAACTTCTGGCTCTACAGGATACATAAAGTGTAGAATTAAACTTACTGAAAAGACCGTGGCGTTGTACGTCAAAATGTTCTTCAAGCAAGGTATTCTCATTTCGTTTAGTAGCTGCAACTTCACCTTGTAAATACCACGGCTTTACATCTAACATTTTACGTTCCAATGCATCCGTTTCTTTATCAAGCTGTTTAGTGTGGATTTAACTAACAAAAGTCACATAATACCTTCTCTTGAAGAAGTTCGAAATTATGTCCCCTGTTTGCTTTCACCATCTTCACTAAACGAAGTGAATGGAAGAATATCTAAATTTTTCGTCAACGACAAGGTTGAACTTCTGGAAGGTAAATGAATGCTTCATTTGAAAAGTGTTGCGTCACACTGAGTTTATGGAATCAATTAAAACCTTGCATCACTTGAGTTAACAAGGAACTATTAGAAGATACATTCGGTTTACTTGGTTTTCTGGTTCTTGTTCACAATTAGAGAATGATGACCATGTGAAAATCGGAAGTGATAAACAATATTGTACCAAAGCTATACATAATTTCTCAGTAACTAACCAAAATATGTTGTTAGATATTCGTTTTCATCCAGTTAGTAGGCTTAGACTTACATGACATTGGAATAGATAAGGTAGGCTTTACACTACAAACAACTATCGCAGGACTTCGAGTGATTTTGTTACATTATGAACGGGGCTCTTAAAGTTATAAGTTGAGCGACTCTGGCTTGAGACGTTAAACAGCATAGTCCAGCATAGAAATTAGTGTCAATTCTACTGGAGTTTTGTACTATCCTCAAAAACAGTCGAATTCCCTTTCTAACAGAACAAGATATGTCTTGACCATATTAGTACTTAAACTATATTCTTCAATAAGCACTACCGTCATTCTATTCGACTGTGTTATTTTTCACTAAGTACTTTATTATATAGTCATATTGTTTCTTACTATATTTCTAGGTGATGTGAGACCAGCTATTCGGTTTAAAGCAAGGTTTAAATAGTTAAAATTCCAACTCAATTTGAAGACAGGTTTTATGAGATGATGAAACATGTTTCATAAACTATAATGTCTAACACTGGTCTCATGCAGGAAATGAAGCTATTACCAGAAAAGATAATACTGTGAAGCAGAAAAGCATAGGAGGACGTGGAAGACTCTGGTGTTAACCAAAATGTGGACAGCCAGATTGTTTCTTCCCTGTGGGAGAAGGAATGCTATGTGACGAGTGGAAAAAGTGGTTCCACAAGATGAGTATCCGTTTAAATTTCCCCGCATACAAAAGATGCTCGAAGCCCGACTCCAATAGGTCTTGCATGTTTTGTTGTTAAAGTAAGACATTACTGATTCAAGGGGCAATTAGCCCCCTAGCATTGGCCAGCAAGAAAGTTGATGAAGGCTAAACTGTTAACATGAGTACTGACAGCGAAGTAGTACCTGATGACCGAGATAAAACCCTCACCATCCTTTACTGATTTATTTAAACACATAAATATTGGTACAAGGAAGCACCAGATACATATGCGCCGCACAAAATTGTCATTTCATGTAATTGTTTGGGGGCTACGATACTGCCCAGACCGAAACAGGTAGTTTTATTCGAGGTCACACCCGGAGCCTTTAACTTAAAGGTCTGATTCACAAGGCAGTGGAGATGCAGTCCGATGGTAGCGGGTGACCACCAACTGGTTCATATCTTGGACTCGCCGTGTCCAACAACCCGGTTAAAGCGCCGGACATTCGCTTTTCGTCCCTTCGATTTCGTAAACAACACCCCCGCCACGAAAAGACAGTGAGTAGGACTTCCCTGGCAGAGGCTATATACGCGTGGCCATGTGAGAGCATTTCGGGAGGGAGAGATGACTCTCCCCACTTTCAGCTGTACCAGGGCCGTCCTAAGAAGTCTCGACTGACGGGAAATGGAGGGTAGTGCGGAAACTCAAAAGAGAAAGAAGCATGGTCACAAACAGCGCCCGTCTGGTTGATAAGTATTTAGTAGACTCACACTGATTCACATAATAATCCGTTAAAGTCTCAAAGTACGACAATACTTAACCCTAGAGTCGTTGGAAAAAGTTTGATCTCATTAAATATTATTATGAGTAATTCGTTTAAATCAAACGACTCCAGTCTAAAGACAACTAAAGAAAAGTCCTCAGTAGATAACAGCAAGAAATGACAACACGATCTAAAGCTGTCTTTGTAGAGATATTTTAGTCGAGGCCCAGACATATAAACTGAAGTGTAAACGGAAGACACTTTGAGGAATCAAAAACACTTCGTTGAGGTGATTAGGATATCCTGGAAAAAGAAGAGAGGACAGGTACCTATAAAATTCCAGAATTCTTAGGTTCACTATAAACAGGACGACTTGGGACCTCTTTATTTCGTTTTACAGTAGATCAAATCGGCGTCAAACAATGATAGTTTTTCTTGACTTAAAAGCAGCATTTGACTCTGTAGACCGAGAGGTTCTGTGTCAGTGTCTGGCATTGAAAGGTGTACCTGAGAAGTACATAAACCTTGTGAAGGCTCTTTACTCGAACACTACCAGTCTAGTCAGAGCTTAGAGGCGAACTGTCATCTGATTTTACAACCTCAAGTGGTATCCGACAAGGCTGAGGTTAGACACAGGGTATTAGGGAATGATGGTAAATCATTTGATGAGGCCATGAACCTTCATCAACTGAGATGGTTGGGCCACGTGTTACGTATGCCTGAACACCGATTACCACGACGCGCTATGCTGACTAGTATTGGCGATGGTTGGGAGTTAGGGGCAGCCAAACCAAAACATGACATCAGTGCTTGAAGTCACTAACTTTTAGTCTGAGCCGTGTTGATAGATGCAGACTACTTGTTTGCGGCCTGCATGACTATCGTAACCAATGATTGGAGACTGAGTGACATGACTCAGAACCGATCACAATGGCGTAGGTGTATACACTCTTCGTCTTCCCTTAAAACGTGAGATTAAAATTGCTTCATGTCTGTCTTTCTCCGGTGTTCATCTTGTTGTGCTTATGAGGTATGCCAACTTGGACCGATGGATATGTGCCCAGTCCTACGTTCTAGCTGACTAATTGACAGTAGATCGAGAGGTGATTAGATTTTAATACATGGAATACTCAGAAATGATTTCGAAACTAATACACTTTCTTTTTTTTCCAGATCAGATCAACTCGGGAGACATATTAGGTGAGTTCAAAAGTGAAGGACCAACAGAATACCCATGACAAATGTTTCCACACTGAGTCATCAACTTTTGGAACATTTATTTGACTTATTCAGTCGAAGACTAGAAACTAACAGAAATTTATTAGAAAAGGACAAACACAGGTCGTCAGTCTTCTGTACTCAATACATGACTAGCATTACCTTGTAATCTATCCGAAATTTCTTATAAAGGACAAAATATTCTTAATTGGTTTAGTTTACAGAGATAGTTATCATATCATTGTCAAACACGGGGTTAAGGCTCACCTTATACTCAGTAATACATAACATCATCTACATACGCCTATAGGATCTGCGAACATTTTGGTTCAAAAGGGACTTTGGTAAAAAGACATTATTAAACTAAATCGGTGGAGTTCGAACTCAAATTCCTTTCCTCAATATCAAAAATACTCACCAGCCGACTAATGGCGCGAAAACGAACAAAATGGGATCTAGTTCATCAATTTGTTCATGAAGTTGTTGACTTCAGCTCTCAGTAGGGATCGGAAAGTGGAACTGGATTAACAGCGGCAAATATTGTTGGTCCGTGTCAAGTATTCCAAATTATTGTGATTCCGACGCAACATGTGCTTTTACCGGGATATCTCGGAGGACATAGCAGGTGAGTAGAAAAGCCAAGAACGAACGAAATACCCGTGGCATACAGGTTTACACATCGAGTTATCAATAATTGGAACCTGCTGCTCGAAGCAGTGGTGTCCGCACCTCCAATTGACTCATCCAAGAGAAGACTGGACACTCACAGAAGCATATTAGGAAAGGAATAACATAGGCCGTAGGGCTTCTGTCCTTACTACACAAATCTAAATTTATATATGTGAGGAATCCAAAGACTAATATTATAAGCAGGAACCTTGAATGCCTGACACAGAATAGCATTTTAAACCTCTACATTACAAACTAGTTAGTCTACAGTCAAGTTAGTAGAAATTAAAAGGAAACCAATGTGCTTCTAACGTTCTAATCACTAAAACCGCACACAATCACGTTACTAATCAGTTTTATCAAAGAATTATGATATATGTTAACATTTTAATTAAGAAAATTCAGAGATTGATGAGAGTATTTAACCTCGGGTAGCTTTTAAAGACCTTATTGTCGTTTCACAAAACCCAACTCGACTGTGTAGTAGTTAAGTCAGTGCAGGAAAACATGTAATCCCGGTAGCGTATTATTGATACTTTGCGCTTCCTAGTTGTACCAAACAGGTAATTGTGTTTCCGTTGGCACATCACGAGGGTGCTGAAAACCACTCTCTGAACAATATATGGCATGATAAATCAAGTATACCAAGTGTTGCCTCCAGACGTGTGTAGCTTAGCTCAGTCTGTCTCCTTCAGTCTTCAGTAATTAGGATTCAAATGGTTGTGGGCGGAATAGAAGACGCATTCGCTTAACGGGCTTTCGTGTCTAGTAGCAGTGAATCACCAATAGCTCCAGGCACGAGCCTAGGTATATTAACGATGGTAGGAAAAAGATTGGTAAACCTCAATAAGATGTTATCCCTAGTCCTTATGAATAGGTCAAGTTTCCTCTTAAATGACTCCTTGCACTAGCTCAGCCATCAACGGATTCCAGCATTTGACTACTCTTAAAGAGTGGAAGCTGTGTCTACAGTCCATTCTGCTATGTTGTGTCTCCAGTTTCTGGGTGTTACCCCTTAGGTTAGTATTGTGACTAAGCTTAAGTATATGTTTAAGGGGATGTCCAGAGGTGTTAAGGATATTGTTAGCCATTAGAATTTCACCTCTAAGACGTCTGTACTCTAATGGACAAAAGTTAAGTGATTGGAGGCGCTCTCCATAAGCTTTGAATTTGAGTCCCCGAACTGATTTCGTGGTTCGACGTTGGATATGCTCCAGAGTGTCGTAGCTGCAAATAAATCCCCAGAATCAATAGCTCTGTAAGCGTTCGACATTGGATGCTGACCACAGTGTCCTTATCCTTTTGAAGAGAGGGAGGAAATACTATGTTTCCATAGTCTAAATGGGGACGAATAAAACTGTTGAAGATTATGTGAAAAACCGAGCTTCAGTAGAGTTTTCTTCTGCAATATAGGTAAGTTCCGCGAAGTTGACCCCAGGAAGATGGAAGTCCCCTAGAATCAAGATATGAGTGAGTCCGAGTCTTGCAGAGAGGGATAATCTTTCCGGCATACGACTGTCGTATTAGATGTCACAGCTGGTTGTCTGTAGACGACCACGACTAAACACCCAGAGGTGGTGTCCAATCGTACTGAGCACTGTACGAATTCATCAAGATTAATAAACTCCTGCTTGTCCAGTTGATGTACTTACTCTCAAGCAAGGTCACAAGTATAAGACTACTCCGTCCCCAATTCCCGTCTTCTGTCGTTGCCAAACAAAGACACCCCGGGTATTGCTAGTTCCCGGTCCGCGAATTGAGAAGATATACATGTTCCACATATTCCTATCAGATGGGTATTATTAGCATTACTGAGTTCATGTAGCTCATCCATTTTATTAAGTGAACTCGCGGCGTTCATATATAATCAATTTGTGCTCTTAATTTGAAAGGTGTGAGTTTCCCCGTTCTGTTTATCTGTATTAGTCTGTACTGAGTCAATTTAGTACGACAGACAAGCCTTTGTGACCTTGATTTTGCACCGTATTTTTCAAACATACATATGGTGTTAGCTTTGAAACTTCTTTTTGATTTCCAATAACTAAATAGAAATCAACAGCTTTGCTCGATGCAATCCTTTCCTTCCCTCTAGGACTGATCATTCGAAGAAAGTTAAAAAACCGAGATTAAATCGTCTGCGTCTGGAGTTTCGTTTTTTGCGCCGAGTAGTGAGTTACTGGAATTCTGTACAAGAACACGTAATATCAACATTTTTTGTTGATATATTCGAAACAAGATTGTACCTCCACCCTATTATAAACTGCAAAGATTAATATAGGTCAATAGACGGGAAGTTTAGTCCTAACGTTATCTGTATTTCTCAAACTATCTCTGTGTTCTTATGCAACCAAAGTACCAGTTCTGATCTAAAGAATCTATTCGGAGCTAAACGTTTGGTAGACTACCTTCTTTTAGTTTCACTAAACTTAATAGTTAACTATAGTATTGTCTCAGCTTATTATTCGGTTTTTCTTTCCGTTTTTAGCTTTAGTTTTAGCTTATCATTGCCCGTTTTTATCCATTTTCGCCCGTTTTAGTGTACTATGTTTCTTTTTCAACTGTCCTGAATTTATAAGACAGTTTGTATCCATAGTCTTGCAGATGACCTGGTTGCAGTTTCGCTGTTACATCTGGCATGTAGTGCGACAACTGCAAATGTTGGTTCCACGAAGCGACCACAGATCTCACAGCAGCTGCATACAGCAGAGTCAGCAGGTCAGGTCTTAGGTGGGTAAGTGTCATGTGCAACACGGATGCCGTAGTTTTGCTGGGCAATATCATCGCCCTACTGACAGGTCCGAGAAAGAATTTGTCTGGAAACTTAGTAAATGACAGTCATACAACGGGTGAAAAAATAGGGGGATATCGACAGGTCCACTACTTGAGGAGCAGGTAAAAGCACTAGTGATGACATGCTGAAACTCAGTACCATATTAACGTCAACGGTAATTGACTTACTCAGCAAACCTGGGTCTCCCAGCTCAGAGTCCTTGAATGCAACAGTCGTTCCCAAAAACTCTGTAGGTGGTTGGAACCACGTTAACACAGTTATAAAGTACCAGGCGTCACCGTCTAAGCTGAACATCCCAAGTATTGTACGAGAATGAACTGGTGAATTGGTCGTACAATCTATCCCCAAGAACGTCCATCCGGTCATCAAAGAGCCTAAGAATCAGAAACGCACTTCGACATCCAATCAACAAGGTGCCGAACCTGGACGCACTGGAAAACCTGGGAAACCAATAACGTTGCGTGACGACTCTGTCATAATCATGAACCTCAAGGACGATCCTGACCTTCCACTCAGTTTGCAGGACAGAAATGACAGGACGCCCTTGGGACAATGAAACAAGAAGCCTGAACTCCCAAGAATAGAGCCTTTGACGTTCTCACGGCTCGCTCGGGGGAAGACTCTAAACATCCTAGGCTACTTCGTATAACACTCAAGAATGCTTCCGACGTAGAGGACGTCCCGCTAGCTATTCACTTATTGAAATCCGGTGGGAACGTAAGAATACTGCCTGACATACTGTATTCTGAGCGAAAGTTCATCCGGAACATCCCTAAAAAATCTCGAGAGGCGATTTTCCGCGGAAGAAATACCATTGTGCAAGGTATACCGGAAGCATGAACCCAGCTCAAGCAAACTGTGGTATTCGGGAATCGAAATTCATCAAGTATTCCTTGAAACTCAAAAACATACTGACCCAACAGGTGACGAGACTAGCCAGGAAAGACGGAGACTCTAGACCCCGGTTAATGAGGATAATCCTCCTATCCTTCGATATGGCAGTTGCAACTCTGGAAGCATTTCTTACTAACAGATGTCGGTTGCCAATTCGCATCCAAATGTATCCGGATAGGCCACACGACAACAGGATCAAGCACAAACGCAAGCTGGAGCTGACAATATCACTTGTGGACTGTCTTGATCATAAAAAAACCTGTAAAGGACAAAGACCTGTAAGGCTCATATAGACTCACAGGAAGAAGCTCATGCGTTCCAAATTGAAAGTATAAACTGCATATACATGAACGCCGCGAGTTTGCCAAGTAAAATGGACGAGCCACATGAACTTAGCAACGCTAATTATGCTCATCTGATAGGAATATCCGGACCCTGGATATCTTCTTAGTTTATGAACCAGGAGCTAGCAGTACCTGGAATGTCTTTGTTTCGCAACCACAGGAAAACTGGAATGAAGGGTGGGGTAGCATTGTACATACGATCATGCCTGAAGGTGCGCCAACTTCATAACCAAGATTTTCTCAGTCTTGATGAATCCGTATGGTGCTCAGTAAGATTATCTACCACCTCGAGGTGTCTAGTTGGGGTCATCTACAGGTAGTACATTGCTGACATCGAGCACAACATTCTTTTACTGGAAAGAATAACTCTCTCTACGCTTCTCCGATTCCCTCATATCCTGATTTTAGGGGACTTCAATCTTCCTAGAATCAACTTTGCGGAACATACATACACACAACTATACTGAAGCTCGGTTCTTCAACCTCATTGATGATCTGGGATTATTCGAAAATGTGAAGTCGGCAACTGGTTGGAGAAACAGTCAGACGCCGTCGTGCTTAGACTGAGTATTGACGAATGAAGAATTCCTAGTCGACGAACTCTCAATTCTGGCTCCCCTATTGAAAAACGATCACGCGATTATATACTTCAGTTTTGCTGACAAAACTGAGCTAAGATATTTCATCAACAACAGGCGCTGGAATTGCAAACGGATAAATGTGTCTGTTTTACGGAACAATCTACAACAGGTGGATGGGATGTTCACACTGAACTTAAAGTGGATGATCATTAGGATTTCTTATTGCACACGCTCTTATGTGCTATAAAGCGATCTGTTCCTCAAATGGTCTCAAAAATTTACAGGCAACCTACAATCATCAAGAACCTCGATCTTCGTTTGCTAAGCCGCAAAAGGCACTGTGAGGCTGAATACAAACGAACTGATAACAACGGCGCGTACTAGCAATACAAACATATAAGGAACATGTGTATAAGGGCAATAAGAGAAGACAGACGTCGGTACTAGACCAAGCTTATCGATAAATTTGTCTCCAATCCGAAAAGCTTATTCCGTTGTTCAACTTCTCTTCGACAAGGCAAAACTGGAGTTTTCCAACTGCTAGGTCCTAATGGTGCGATCAATAATGATGGGGATGCCACTAACCTTTTGGCTGAACAATACTCTTGGACATTTCAACCGACCCACATCAACTACACTGATGAAAGCTCCCTCTGCAACTCCACAGGACTTTCGGAAGTGCATCTGAACGCTGATCTGTTTTCCCGTAAACTGCAGCACATAGGAAAAGACATTTCTTCTGGCCCGGATATGATTCATTCTGTTTTACTGAAGAAAGCAGCTTCAATCCTTGCAACACCTCTTAGCGTGATGTTTTCACACTCGCTAAGTCGAGGAAAACTACCGGATATTTGGAAGCTGGCTCATATCACACCATCAAGTTACCGATCGGTGGCCCTTCTCTCTATACCTTCAAAACTGATGGAGTCCCTGACATGCTATGGTATACACGACCGCTTATTATCCCTAAAGTTTTTCCTACCCCAACGGCATGGTTTCAGGAGGGGCCAATCTTGTATAACCAACCTGCTGACTGTGGTGGACAGATGGACAATCATCCCCGATCGCAAGGGAAAGGTTGACATCGTTTGCCTTGATTTCCCAAAAGCTTTTGATAGGACCAACCATATATGTCTTATTAGTAAGCTTAAGCGATTGGGTATCAAACCACCTCTAATTGACTGTCTCACCTGATATCTAAAAAATCCGCATTATGAGGTCAGGGTTGACTTCTTTTTCTCTCAGGTTATGAAATGTCCAAGTGGGGTTCCCCAGGGCTCAATACTAGGACCACTTCTCTTCTTGATTTATATAAACGATCTTCCACAACAAGTATCGTCTGGCTTATTGCTTTTGCTGATGATGTGAAACTTTAGAGAGAGATACTCAACCGAGAGGGTACACTGACACTTTGGGAGGATCCGACTCAACTTCAAAGTTTGGATGATGACAAAGGAATTACCTTTAACATCTCAAAGTGTAAAGTAGTCCATTTGCGGCATGTTGCAGACTATAGTTACAATTGAGGAAACTCCTCCATAGAAGTATCTCAAGTCGAAAAAGATTTAGGAGTATTGGTATCGTACTACTTGAAGTCTTACGCTAACTGAAACAAAAATGCCTTCCGAGCAAACCTTGCTCTGGTAACATTGAAACGCACGTTTGCTTAGCTTTACGGAAGAACTTTCCACATAATCTTCAACAGTTTTATTCGTCCCCATTTAGACTATGGAAACATAGTATTTCCTCCCTCTCTTCAAAAGGATAAGGACACTGTGGTCAGCATCCAATGTCGAACGCTTACAGAGCTATTGATTCTGGGGATTTATTTGCAGCTACGACACTCTGGAGCATATCCAACGTCGAACCACGAAATCAGTTCGGGGACTCAAATTCAAAGCTTATGGAGAGCGCCTCCAATCACTTAACTTTTGTCCATTAGAGTACAGACGTCTTAGAGGTGAAATTCTAATGGCTAACAATATCCTTAACACCTCTGGACATCCCCTTAAACATATACTTAAGCTTAGTCACAATACTAACCTAAGGGGTAACACCCAGAAACTGGAGACACAACATAGCAGAATGGACTGTAGACACAGCTTCCACTCTTTAAGAGTAGTCAAATGCTGGAATCCGTTGATGGCTGAGCTAGTGCAAGGAGTCATTTAAGAGGAAACTTGACCTATTCATAAGGACTAGGGATAACATCTTATTGAGGTTTACCAATCTTTTTCCTACCATCGTTAATATACCTAGGCTCGTGCCTGGAGCTATTGGTGATTCACTGCTACTAGACACGAAAGCCCGTTAAGCGAATGCGTCTTCTATTCCGCCCACAACCATTTGAATCCTAATTACTGAAGACTGAAGGAGACAGACTGAGCTAAGCTACACACGTCTGGAGGCAACACTTGGTATACTTGATTTATCATGCCATATATTGTTCAGAGAGTGGTTTTCAGCACCCTCGTGATGTGCCAACGGAAACACAATTACCTGTTTGGTACAACTAGGAAGCGCAAAGTATCAATAATACGCTACCGGGATTACATGTTTTCCTGCACTGACTTAACTACTACACAGTCGAGTTGGGTTTTGTGAAACGACAATAAGGTCTTTAAAAGCTACCCGAGGTTAAATACTCTCATCAATCTCTGAATTTTCTTAATTAAAATGTTAACATATATCATAATTCTTTGATAAAACTGATTAGTAACGTGATTGTGTGCGGTTTTAGTGATTAGAACGTTAGAAGCACATTGGTTTCCTTTTAATTTCTACTAACTTGACTGTAGACTAACTAGTTTGTAATGTAGAGGTTTAAAATGCTATTCTGTGTCAGGCATTCAAGGTTCCTGCTTATAATATTAGTCTTTGGATTCCTCACATATATAAATTTAGATTTGTGTAGTAAGGACAGAAGCCCTACGGCCTATGTTATTCCTTTCCTAATATGCTTCTGTGAGTGTCCAGTCTTCTCTTGGATGAGTCAATTGGAGGTGCGGACACCACTGCTTCGAGCAGCAGGTTCCAATTATTGATAACTCGATGTGTAAACCTGTATGCCACGGGTATTTCGTTCGTTCTTGGCTTTTCTACTCACCTGCTATGTCCTCCGAGATATCCCGGTAAAAGCACATGTTGCGTCGGAATCACAATAATTTGGAATACTTGACACGGACCAACAATATTTGCCGCTGTTAATCCAGTTCCACTTTCCGATCCCTACTGAGAGCTGAAGTCAACAACTTCATGAACAAATTGATGAACTAGATCCCATTTTGTTCGTTTTCGCGCCATTAGTCGGCTGGTGAGTATTTTTGATATTGAGGAAAGGAATTTGAGTTCGAACTCCACCGATTTAGTTTAATAATGTCTTTTTACCAAAGTCCCTTTTGAACCAAAATGTTCGCAGATCCTATAGGCGTATGTAGATGATGTTATGTATTACTGAGTATAAGGTGAGCCTTAACCCCGTGTTTGACAATGATATGATAACTATCTCTGTAAACTAAACCAATTAAGAATATTTTGTCCTTTATAAGAAATTTCGGATAGATTACAAGGTAATGCTAGTCATGTATTGAGTACAGAAGACTGACGACCTGTGTTTGTCCTTTTCTAATAAATTTCTGTTAGTTTCTAGTCTTCGACTGAATAAGTCAAATAAATGTTCCAAAAGTTGATGACTCAGTGTGGAAACATTTGTCATGGGTATTCTGTTGGTCCTTCACTTTTGAACTCACCTAATATGTCTCCCGAGTTGATCTGATCTGGAAAAAAAAGAAAGTGTATTAGTTTCGAAATCATTTCTGAGTATTCCGTGTATTAAAATCTAATCACCTCTCGATCTACTGTCAATTAGTCAGCTAGAACGTAGGACTGGGCACATATCCATCGGTCCAAGTTGGCATACCTCATAAGCACAACAAGATGAACACCGGAGAAAGACAGACATGAAGCAATTTTAATCCCACGTTTTAAGGGAAGACGAAGAGTGTATACACCTACGCCATTGTGATCGGTTCTGAGTCATGTCACCCAGTCTCCAGACTGAAGACTGAAGGAATGACATACGTCATGGGTCTTTATTTTTTACTGTAGAAATCTGAACCTGATTTATATCATTACAACTCTTTGTTTTTGGGGATAATATTATCAGTTTATATGATCTTTTGGGGAAGACACAGTGGAAAATTTTAGGAAAATATGACAGCCCCGAAATTTGCATAAACCTTGGAAAAAATACGAACTTTTCATATAATATTTAAATTCACTTTGGGGAAGACACCGAGATTTCCCTAAAATTGGGAGATTTGGAGACGGGCTTGTATACTAACTATTAACCAACCATAGTTGGTACATATTTTTCAATTTATATGTCCCTCACAGACTCACTTGCGTAATAGGGTCTTTTTTATATAACCGTAAATGGATTTTAAGCCATTTTTTGTAATAATTAGATATTTCATTCTCGCAACCATCATATTGCCTCCATTTCTACTTTTATCGTAATCCATGCACATAAGTGTATTTAACCAAGGTCAACCAATGTCACTAATTTAGTGGATACAAATCGCACTGTTCCCCCTTTCGCTGAATTGCTGAAGTGTAAACTCAACCTCTAGTTGCCAATATGGTGCATGAATGTTACCATTTTGTACGCATTAGAATAAACTCTTCCAGTTATTAGTATATAAAAATAGGTTTCACATATCAATACTGACGCTCACGCTACCCAAATTTACAAATTCAGTTGTGATCTATGAATCATCACTGAAAAATAATGCAGATGAAACAGTAATTTAGTTAACACTGACTACATAATGATTTGGTCAGTTAATAATTGTCGTTAAGGGATGTGAACTCTAGGTAGGCTTTGCGTAGTTTTGTTTATGTTTTCTGGAAATGGTATTCTGAGTCGAAATAAATCAACAGATTTTGAAAGCCGTTTGGAATCCAATATGCTCTAGTTAGATACTTCCCAAAGCAGCGTGCAACTTGCTATATTATCGATTTAATTATTCCAAAGCATTTCAATATTCCACTCTTTCCTTGTCGTTATTCTGGAGGGTTTAAATGATGACTAATCTTAGGCCTTAAAAGTAACGTTAGCAATACCTAGGTCTTATTTATTGGCAAATTATTCCGTCCTTAGGTCTGTAGAGGAGTCTCTGGTAGTACGGACAGGTTGGCAAATTTACTGCTCGTCATATAATGATGAAGCTTAATAACAAGTGATTCATTTCGCCAGTCTCAACTTATCTCTCTTTAGTCATGGTAATATTGTGCAATTCCATAATGTATCAACCGCCTGATTGTTCAGGCAAATTGAATCTCGTATGCGGTACGAAATTGTGATGCTTGTTCTCAGTAGTTAGTCTTTGTCATAGTTGAGTCAAAATAATTTAGTCAGTCAACATTGTTAACTACTAGCGCGTTTGTAATAGAAATAATAACATTTGAAAAATTTTCAATGAGTGAAATATTGTATTTGTCACGTTATCCAACCCAGTTGCTTCTTCAGAAGATAAACCAAATTAAACTGACTCAATTTTAAATAGAACAAAAAAACAAAACAGAGTATTTGTATTACAATCAAAGGTAAAACTTTTCCAACCATGTTAATGTCATGTAGTTTCAATCAAGGTAATTCTGTATGAGAATTACTTGTATGTATATTAATGAGCGGAGAAAATGTGAAACTTGTTATGGGGAAGTGTATCCAGCCTTTAGCTGCTCGTCTTCAGCAATTTTCTTCATGAAAAGTCTACTTAATCATTCATTCTTGTGAATACGTCTTTGCAAGCTCCTCTGGAATCCTAGGGCTTTGTTATATCTGGAGTTGTAATGCGCATGGTTTACAGTTGACATGTGATTAACCGTACAAATCCATCCAATTTTTATATCTACATTCCAAGAACGTTTTGTCTAAAAATTATCATTCAAACTCTTAAATCTTAGTACTATAGTATTTGTCTTGGTCAAAAACAAACGTCAAGCTGCGAGGACATTAAATATTGAGCTGAGCCATGTAGGGATGTTAAGAAATCTATGCGACTCAGCAACTATTATTGCTTAATATTCTCCGGCCACTTTGCTTCACTCGAACGATCCTCAAATCAGAACACAGTTGAATAGGAACGAAATTATATTCCAAATAACGAAGTTGTGTGGGACAGCCGTACTGTGGAAACTTTTAGTAGATTTATAATTTATACACATGAATGTTCCTGGATCTTCATTTACCTTCCAACTCTGGTCGGCTAAAAACAGGCCAACCAGTGTGCTGCAACATCGTTCTGCATAGGACGTGCATTAATCCTAACTATGGTCTTCCAGCGAGGAATGTATGAATTTCTTAGTTATTTTTGGAAACATAAGTATTATCAATAGTGCAAAATGTAAATTAGTGCGGGGGGCTAATATATACAAGTTATCCTTCGCTTAATTTTGAACTTTATGGTTATCCACGCCTTCCTCCTACTTCTAAACTACTTTTCTCATTTTCAGTTTTCATCTACCGTTAGTACCATTTTTATTGTTTGCACCTTTTTCGTAATCTGTTAGTTTCTTCTCACTCCATTGATGTGTGTGATAGCCTTAACTGATAAACATTTGCATCAGTTCATACATTTATGCTTGGTCATCTGTTCGTTGATCTTCACGCGTGTAACAACTTGAATAGTTGCACATTTGTGTTTAGAGACGGAATTACTTCTCAGTAATATTCGTTATTCAGAACTAGAGTTAATATTTATACTATTTTCGGCGTTTGGTTTTTCACTAACCGACTTCATCATTTGTTTTTCAGAACTTCATATTAATCACCGGTAGTTCTTTATCTATCATCAATATATTGTTTCTTTTTTCTTGTTCCAGATTCCTTGATATTCGAACTCTCATCATATTAAAGTGGCGTTGTTCAAGATTACGTGTCGCTTTATGGGACAAGAATATCTTTACTTACTTCCAACTGTCCTATTTAGTTAATTTATCCGATTGTAATTAAGTAGAACTAGGGGTTGTGTTTATAGTTTGTTGATTATAATTGGCCTTTACAACAAATTGGTTTCTTTTTATGAATTAGCCAATCGAGATTAGTTATATAAAACTATCATTCTTTTGTTTGTAATACAAGAGACTTCCGTTTGCTTAAAAAGTACCTTATTTACTGTCAATTAGATGAACTCAGTTCCACCTATGTCAACTATCAACGGAAGTTAGACGAACTATGTTTGTATCGCGGTTAACATTTGTATCAAAGACAGTGCCCAAAATTATTCGTCTATGTAGCAAGAAATTTGCGTACAAAATAAATACAAAAGAACAACAACGCTATAAAACATTATTTTCCGAAACCTGGGAATCAGTTTCTCATCAGCCTTTTCCAAATGCAGAACCTCCAACAGTTTTAGAAGACAGAAATTTAGATGATCTTGTCAAGAGTCCCAGGAGTGAAACTTCAACTGACTTTACAAGGCCTCTTGCTCCAGAGGATTTGAACAAAATTTATTCTGACGAAGATCCATCGCTACCACCTTTGTCTATTACATGCTCAGGATGTGGATCACCGTTACATAGTAAAGCTGCAGGATATCCAGGTTTCATACCCTCGACCGAATATAAAAACATTATGTCCAGTACGGGGCAATCACTTTCTCGTCCTAAATACAGGAAACCCGTGTTCACTCTTTGTGTACGTTGTAATCTGCTTCAAAAACACAACGAAGCGTCGAAAGTATACGTTTGCATATTAATCCTCAATAGAATTTAGGAAACAATAAATGAGTCGTATTTTCTCACTAATGTAATCCAGGAAATACAAAAGTACGAAGATGCGGCTGTAATCGTTATTGCCGATGTGGCTAATCTCCCACATTCTTTAATTCCGGAATTACATACAGAATTGAAAGGCAAAAGGTTGGTTTTAGCGTAATATTGTTCTCAATCTTAGGTATGTGCTTGTCGGTAACAAAGCTGACCAGTTACCAGGTGATGGATCGCATTTCCGAGAGAGGTGGTGTTCAGCATTATTGGAAGCAGCAATTTCGAGGAGCAAAATACCAAAGGAGAATATTAATTACATCTCCATAATTAGTGCATTGACTGGCTATGGTATACCAGAACTAATCGACTTTCTGTTATCTAAACGTTTTCATTCTAAAAGTGAGCAGTATTTATGACTTGTTTTTATTACTAATATTAGTGATTTTTGCTTAAAATCTTTGATAATTGTGCCTATCCACTGCGTTAAGGGTAAACACTAAACCGATCTCCGCTAAATATTTAAAGAGTATCTGTTATATCTTGTGGTCGAGTGGATGCCTAGTTAATGTGACTTGATGAGACCGCCAATCAGGGAGCAGCGAATTGTCGGTTGGAACAGTGACACGAAACTCGTACGAGCAGACTAGAGTGCTAACTGGTCCTGCGATCTGCCTAGCCCAGCCAGTTAAGTCCAAAACACCAATAAAAGCCTCAGTGGTATGAATCATTGTATTTCAAACATACTGAGTTTATATACCAACCAAACAGACCATATCGACCCATAAAATAGATAATAACATTTGTACAATATTTAGCCGAATGTGGTTGTGAATAGTAATCAATAAACTGATGATAACTCAAGGGTCGTATAATAATAGTTCAAAGGTCAAAATAAAGTTAGTGATAAGAGGAAACGAATATGATTAGGTTAATTACAATAGGAAATATACATATTATATTGGCCAATAAATAGTCCTCAAAAGTTACCATTCGTAATTCTCTTCGGGATACAACAGTATCTGAGTAATGCTTAGATACATTAGTCCTTTACACTGAATACAGTTTTTGTCATAACTTCTACGACAGTATATCCTGGACACAACACTTCATTCAACTGGTCTCAAATCAGCATACGGATTACAACCAAGCGAAAATATACATCGAAATTCCGAACGGCGAAAGGTAATCTGGTAAAAACGTTGGGGTTTATATGAAATGTATGTAGAAGTTTTCTAGTGTCTTCTCAATCCATCTACTAGCGCTTATTTGTCAAAGATGAACCAATCTACGTGCTTTAACCTGTCATTCACTAAAGCGTAGATGTTTTCTTATGATTTGATTAGATGAGATTTTCGATCGTTAAAATCATTGAATATAATGCTAATCGACAAACGACCGTAGCGGTAAATTGTGATCGAGTGATGCCTACTCACGAGACCATATAATTGACTTGAAACATTCGAAGTCAACGACAAGATAAGTGGCTGAATAAGTAGTTTTTTATGCGACTAAATAAACATGGTTATATTCGGAATATGAACACAAAATGAACCTGACAAAATGTCATAGGGGTTTAGGGGAAATAAGCTTATGGGTCACGCATTCTTTAATCAATTAAAACCTGGCTGTTAAGTCTTATCTTAAGGCATCGTATCAATAAGTCAGGACCCTATCTTGCTAACATTAGGTTCACCTTTGGACACCATCTGAAATTACGTATCTTACTATTGTTAGTACTACAATCATTTCAACTTTTTTGTTTTTCTTGTTAATTTTATCTCACCATGCTGATATGGTAGAACAACTCGGATTAGGGTACATTTGTTCAGGCTCATTGTTAACTATGACAGACTGATATTAAATTTATATATAGTCATCCAACAGTGATATATATACCCCACCCCCTTAATTAGTTAAGATAAAACATATATTTTTTATTCTTTTCTTTATAAGATCCAATATATTTGATAGGTTCTACAAATGTCGGAAAGTCTAGTTTATTCAATCGTTTATTATTGTCAGATTTATGTAAATCAGAAGCCAAAGAATCTATTCATCGAGCTACAATATCTACGTGGCCAGGTAATTAAATTTTTTTTTACCAAGTGTTCATATGAGATATATTTCATGATTTCCATTATATAACAACGGTTTTTCAATAGATTTCTTGCCTTGTATATGTCAAAAAAGTATATTAATTTATAGAAATGCGTTTAGTTTTCGGTTTGAATTTTATTAAAGTGGATTGTTTTTATCACAATTACATATTAACCTCTAAAATAATACATATTGCAGAGTCAGTCAGTCAGTCACAACGTAGAACTTCGTACGTACGTACATCAATTTGAGTTGCCATACCACATTAACACAGAGATGCAGTTGTCGATACAAATCCCATAGTGGTAAAAGTAGTAAGAATATAAGCAGTAATCCGAAAGATTAGGGTTTGAAGATGTTATTGAAGGAGTATAATCCAATGAAATAAATTTGGGAAAAGAAAAAAGAAAGGGGCATGAAGAATTCAGAAGATTAGAATTTGGGAGAACACTAAGAGTGGATGCACCTTCGCCATTGCAAACGATTTTGAGCCATGTCATTCAAGATCTCTAACAATCGGTTGCTATCATCTCGCGGATCCCAAACAGGTAGTCTACACCTACCGGCATGGCTCAGTCCACTTGTCAGTGACTTGCAGAGTAACTTGCTGTTCTTTACTATTCTAAAATTCAGCGACACTGAATATCTGCTTTTTCTAGATTAAACTTGATTTTTCTTGAAACTTTGTGATGAGATTTCAGACTGTTATATCCTATCCTAATAGTTGATGCTTTTCAACTTCAATGAATGCTTTATAAAAAGTAACTAGCTTAGATGGATGCATGGGTTTAACTTTTAAGATTACTACAATCTCCACAAACCTCCATTCTGGTAGTAATAATAATAATATTCTCATTAGTAAATAGCTTCAAAATCTAACTCCTGGAGTTCTGGTGAGAATCCCTGACCAGTGAAGTCCAATCCGCGTCGGTTGTGAGACATTTATCTTCCTCAGGCAGTGTACGAAGGGCTGCGCAATATCATGGATTGATAAGAGTTAGATATTAATACTGTTGGTTTAGAGATTAAGCGTTCGTGCGCGAAATCGAAGGTCCTGGGTTCGATTTCCGGTTGCGGTATCGTGGATGTGCATAACTGAGGAGTCCGGCTCTAGGAAGAAACAGTCACTCAGTGCTGCCAGATTTTTAATAGTGGTCTAGCTTATATTGATGCGTGATTTCAACTATAAAAATAGAAAGATTGTTCAATTCTGAAATACTTAAATTATTATTATCTAAAAAATAACAAAATACACGAGGTAAATCTGTAATTAGAAAGTAAATAGGAGTAAAAGCGTGAACAAGCGTACAAGGAAGGAGACCAAATAAGAAGAATACAGTAAAACGAAGATTATGATGAAGAGGTTGAAAAAGTAGCTTTCGTTAATTTATTTTTGGTATAAACTTAAAAAAACTCATCATTAGTATTACAAACAAAGATGGATAGTGACTAGCAGTGGGATCCACAGCGCATGCGTCTTATTTGGGACTCGTCAGCTAAATGTACATGCATCCCAGAGTTGATGTTTGCTTCGGGATCCAAACCCTGTACCGTTTGCTTCACAGCCCATCACAGTCCAAGAGTGACATTCAACTCCTATATACAGGTACATCCAGCTAACGAGTCCCAAATAGGACGATACGCACGTTCTGGATTTCACTGCTAGTCACCATCCAACTCTAATAATAATGCATGTGAATCAGTAGCTACATCGAGTTATTTGGCACAGGATCCACGTGTTTCTGAAGACACTGATCAATTCCAGTCCTAAACATCAATAGGAAGATTCAAACAACCAATACAAATGAGTTACTAAGACCTTTGTTTGACGTAATCAGTGGATTTAAACCTTTCAAATTGCTTCAGAAACTTTAAAAAGTGTGATAAAGTTATGTGATTAGAAATAACCAAATACCGACTTAACGATGTGAATGTTTATTCCTCTTCACGAAGCCCGAGGGTCCTAAGTTCGATCCGTAATGAGATTGTGAATGCACACTGCTCAGAAGTCTCATATTGGGATGGAAAAACTGTTAACTGTTTCTTAGTTTTTAACGTTTGTTGAACTGATATCAGTCCATGATGTGATGCTAGTAGACAATCTGCACAACTTATACTAACAAATGTAGACATTCAATGTAAGGTAGGTTTAATCTATCGTTTTGTCATGATGAGAAAACATATCAGTTAGGCTCTTATACATTGGAAAATGAGCGACGTACAAAGCTGATTTTATTCAATTGTTTATAACATCTAATCTTGTGATTTTTTATACACAAGAGTTGTATTTTATTATAGGATTAACTTATTCTTCTGGTTATTGGTCTTGTCTTTGATTTCAAATCATTTGAGGTCCTTAAGTCAATAATCTGGTCTCGTAAGCAACTAGCCATCACTCCACGGCCACTTCATATCATCACATTTCACATGTTAACTAACATGACAATCCGAAAGCATGTTGGCTTGTCAAATTCTACTCCATAACAGATTTACACCAATTGTTACTAGATTATAATACACTGACTATATTTTCTTAAAATAATTCTACTATTCCCCTGCGACCACGTGATTTCATTTTCATAAATTGTGTAGATTGTCAGCAAAACTTCTTACGAAATCACCATAAGAGGGAATAAAATATTATAGTTTCAATTTGACTCTTGAGAAATTCTTTTCAACTGTAGTAACCATCGGGTATCAAATCGGTTATAATAATATTTTTATGGTTTGATAAAGTATTTGGAAGTCATAAAAAACGTTCGTGATTGGAGTTTTATGCCAAAGCAAGAAATTGTGTGGGATTTACTTCATTTACCTATCAACTAACAAATAAATATGCGTAGAATTAACTTTATTTTACGTTGGCTAAAATGAATCACGCCTACATAAATTACCTTGAATTATTTTCTCTTAAAATCGATTATAACAGAAATGTGACCGTGACCAATACAGTTTTACTTCAGTGTTAAGGGATTTAAGGAATATCAAATGATGTTATCTTAACGAAGATGATCTGGGTTTGTTTCTTGACCAAGTGGCTGGTCGAATGTGATTCCTACTTCAAATACAGATCCAAATAGAAGGAACCATCAAAAACTGGGAATTATAGGCCATTCTTTTTGCTGTGAAATTGAACTATTCAGCAGCACACATATAAAACCCTAGATAAGATCGAACGTAGGTCTTGTAGCAAGAAAAATAAACTCATTGACTCACAGTCTAATGGACCTTATTTTGAACTGCAATCGGTTCGTAATATAGGACATAAGTTGTAAACTAAGACGAAATAACCGTTTTATGTGTTCTCTGGTTTTCAGTGGTTTTTCTAATGTTAAATTGTGATGTAAACCCTTAAAAAGTTATTCCATATCAAAACGTAGAACCTGGCACATATGTACACTAGTTCAAGTTATCAATCCCTATTAGCTCAGTAAGATAAAATTTTCAGGGCAAATTCCAAACTAGTGGAGGTAGTCACAGTATTTTGCTGTTAGAGGTATGAGGGCAGTTATCACTTCCCGGTTGATGGTTAGGCCACGTGTTACGTATGCCTGAACACCGATTACCACGACGCGCTGTGCTGACTAGTGTAGGGGATGGTTGGATGCCAAAATGTGGCATCAGTGCTTGAAGTCACTAACTCGCTTTGGCACTAGAAATAACCTTACACAGAACATCAGGCTATCCACTTAAGAAAAAATGACAAGTTCCCTGGTGTTGCATTGGCCTGCCATATATAAACTATTTATTAATTACTAAACCAGCAAACATGAAACTTTCTTATATTTCATGTTTACTCTCTACATTAAATGTTGATTTTTATAACAATCTGATCATGCCTGTAGACTGGTGTGAATTCTGTAAATATTATTTTCAGAATATATATATATATATATATATATATAATAATAATTATTATTATCATTAACTTCTAGTCTGAGCCATGTTTGCAGATGTAGACTACCTGGTTGGGGTCCGCGTGACTATCGTAACCAATGGTCGGAGACTCTAGGTGACATGGCTCAGAATCGATCACAATGGCGTAGGTGTATACACTCTATGTTCCCTTAAACTTTAAGATCAAATTCGCTTCATAACGTTCTTCATTCCTGTACCATATCCTTATATACAACCTACCTTTTATATACTACCACCACTAAATTAACTATTTATATGAATCTGGTGTTCATCTTGTTGTGCTAATGAGGTATGGCAACTTGGACCGATGCATGTGTGTGCCTGGTCCTACGTTATAGCTGACTGACTGACTGAGTCACAGTATTAGTAGTAACAAAAAAGATTGGGCATCGAAGATAGGATTCGAGAAGAAAATAAGTATGTGTGGAATAAAAAATTTTTGTCAGGTAATCTAGAAATTTAGGATCTAAGGGAAAACAAAGAGTGAATGTGCCTGGGCCATTATGAAAGATTTTGATCTGTGTCATCCAGTCTCTAACCATTGGTTACGATAATCACGCGGACTCCAGGCTTCTGATATCCATCAGTTACCTTATGTTGTAAAATTGTATGAGTAATTAAGATTGTTTGGATTGGCCTCTCAATAAAAATGTTGCTTATTATTGTGAAGCTATTTTTTGTTAAAGTTAAACGTTTTGAGAAAATTTTGATGATGTAAACAGAGAAATAAATCTATGACAAACAACGACAGCTATTTTTGGGGACGCAATTCCACTTAACTCGAAGTTTGTAAAATACTAACATTTAATTTTGTCCCTAGGTTATTGCATAAACTAAAGCTATTTCTAATTTAAACGTGACGTTTTGTACTATATTTTTATACCTTAATGCCCAGTTTGGACATAATTGTGTTTTCCTGGTTGTTTGTGCGTTGTAGTCGTGTTAGTCATGTATTTATTCATGTATCTTTTTACATTAATCTGAATCGGTAATCAGGAATAAATTCGGTAGTTTTCCAGTTAATTCATCTTCTCTCCTGTTCTCTCGCTTGTCAACTAATCAGGTGGTAGAATAGCTTTTGTCTCTCTGCCCAAGACTCTTGTCTCAATTCGAATTCACGCATTTCTAGCCTCAAAGTTGAACCAGTTAGCCTATCGTGTCAAGGCTTTAATCTAGATCGAAACAAGTTCTCTCCTGTATGTTATTAGATAGACAGATTAAAGACGTAATACTTGAATTAAAATATTTCTGTGCTCCTCAATCCATTACAAACTAGTCTATGCATAAGCGTGAAATAAATACTAATATTTTAATGTTCAAAGCTGTTTTATAATTCCAGGGAAAACGCCCTTAAATTTCTGTTTCATGGAAAAATATTTATCATCCAAATTGTCGATGACTAGATGGAATTGTTTCCTGAACTAAGATTTCCCGATGACAAAATATTTTACTATCAGTTTGAATATTATCAGTGAAGTGTTCAATAAATTACATAACAAGTTCATTTAGAATGACTATTTATAACCAGTAATTATATTTTTATTAAAATTCAATCCAATAACCATAACTTACTTACTTACGCCTGTTACCCCTCGTCGAGGAGCATAGGCCGCTCACCAGCATTCTCCATCCAACCCTGTCCTGAGCCTTCCTTTCCAGTTGTTATTCATCCTTTTCATATCTGCTTCTATTTCCCGGCGTAGTGTCCTTTGGCCTTCCTCTTTTCCGCTTCCCTTCCGGATTCCAAGTTAGGGATCGCCTTGTAATGCACATTGGTGATTTCCTTAATGTATGTCCTATAACCATAAACATGTTGTGTATTCGAGTTTGAGTATGTTTTCATTTCTATGAATGCTTCCAAAACAATATCATTGAACTGTGGTCCAAACCAACATAAAACAATAAAACATAGGTTTAATCCGATCCTTCTAATTTGCAATATGTGGTCATGATTGATCTTCTTTACATAAATTATTGGAATTATTGCAATTGTCCATATTGCCCAAATACATTAATGCTCTTTCTTTCAGTTAACCTCAATATAGGTCATCACTATTAATTCAGATGTCAGCTTTATTAATTCATGTCATCTTTACAGTTAACAACTAGTATACCAATTTCAGTCAACATAGTTCAAAACAACTTAGAAAGAATAAGGGGAAATGAAATACCCACGGTCAAGAATTAGCAGAAGTTGAAAAAAATTTATGTTGTCATGGTCAATTTTGACTATGTTCACCTTTAATTTATATTTCTATCATGATTATTGATTATTTATTCGTTGTTTCAATTGGGAGTTAGTAAATACCTCATTGATAACTATTATTCAGTACATAACTTTTTTATAATAGTCAATGCTTGCAATATAATTCTATTATTCAGGTACTACAATGGGCCTCTTAAGTTTTCCATTAACCCTAATGAATTCAGCTAAACGTGGTCAGCGTATACAATCACGTTATGAACAATCACATAAAAAGACTATACAACATAAAGAATACAATTCATCACATGGTTTCCGATATTTGAAACGTAAGTTTGCCATAATTTTAAATACAAGTTACGCTGTTTTTGTAAAAATGTTCCGTTTTCAAATCTGATTAGTATCATTTTAGGGGAATGCTTTAAAATCTAATCAAAAGCTGACTGATATTTGTAATGATAAAATTCGTGTTTAGTGAATGAACTTACAACAAACCTTTAAATGTAGAGTGATGATTGAGCAGTTAGCGTGTTCGGCTTTCAACTAGGAGGTTGTACATTCGAACTTCGCTCTATCTACTTCGGTTTGGGCAGTCGAGTATTATCACTGGTCTTCATATAAACTATGTAGTTCAAAACTCAAAAAATAAACCTTCAATTAGCCTTTGGCTTATGTCTAAACCTTTGAGCTACATTCTCTACCTCGTTTCACTTCAAAATCCATAAGACAAACCAACGTTTTGAACTCATTTATTGTTTCATTTGAATGTTCGTTAAAAAGACAACTTATTCGAAAATCAATGCACAAAAATACTGACCGCGTAATTACTCTTTTTGTTTTATTTTTTCTAGCAAAAGAAATTGTCTCTGGTATTTGTGACCAACGGTCGGCAAATTATTATGCAGCAAAAAAGGCTCGTGAAACGCTGCCAGATTTGTCTACTATGCCGACATATACATGGAAACCTAATGAAAATTCCAATTCCAACAACTCTGGGATTTGTGTTGGTAGTGAGTTCGGATTGGAACAGTTGGCTTCTGAGTCATTGCGTGGAGATATTTTCATGGACAAAGCTACTTGGGATGGAGATCAAAGTACTAGATTACTAACAAATATATTAAATCCAAGATATTTTAATGATCATGCATGGTGTTATGATACTCCAGGTGTTTTTTGTAAAGACCAGGTAATTCTTATTTTTGTAAGAACTTCGATTTGATATAATAAGTTTAAATATTAGTCATTAGGTGATCAAATATAGATATCAAAATGTGTAAATTTACTGTAGGATTAGCCCAATCTGAACTCAGAAAAAAAACTTTTGAAGTTTCGAGCAAAAGTAGATTATTCTTACGTCATATTCTATGAAAAGCCTTTAAATAATTACTTTTACACACTGTTCATAATGTTCATAATTGATAAGAAAAAACTGTCATACATGAGAAACGACAATATGAAAGAAAAAGCACAAGAAATACATACTTTTGACGACCCAACTCTCCAGGAAACTACTTTATAAGTGGGTTCACTGAACAGCAACGAGCTAGCAGCTTGGTATTGCTAAAATCCATCACTATTTCCACTCAAATATTGGTATCTGATATCTTTATTTTATTAATTATTTGAACACATAAATATTGGTACAATGGGGCACCAGATATATTTGCGCCACACAAATCTCATTTGATTTGTTTGAGGGCTGTGGTACTGCTCAGGTGCTCAAACCGAAACAGGTGGTTTTCTCAGGGGGCCACACTCGGAGCCTTTAACTCAAAGATCTGATCCACAAGGCAGTAAAGCATCGTAAGAAGATGCAGTCCCATGGTAGCCTGTGACCAACGATCGATTCATACTCCATTTGCTCCCTTAAGGTACTAGAGCCCATGTGCACCATTGGTTTGGAATCAGGGTTTTCCAACTCCTCTAGATGAGCTTTCTGTGTCCACCAACCCAGTTAAAGCGTCGGACATTTGCTTTTCGTCCTCACAATTTCGTAAACAACACCGTGGTGCGAGAAGGCAGTGAGTAGGACTTCCCTGACAGAGGCTGTATACTATTTCTAGAGAATTGATTCACTCAAGATTTTATAGAAGATGAGGAATTTCGTCTAAATTTAGTTGTGGTCAAGAAGAGAATGCAAAAAGAAGAATTCGCACTCAAATAAGTGAGATTCTGCGGTGATATTTCTCTTAAATATATAATTAGAAAACTGATAATAGACCTTGAGAAACTAATAAATCTTCCAATACTATTATACTGCTACGGGTTTCAATACTTCTCTATGGGGGAGTCCCGATTTATCTAGACACTCTCTCTATTGGTCGAAAACTGGCTTCAAAGTCACACGATCATTGTTAATATTACTACCGAACCAGCCCTATAGTATAGTTACACCTTTACTATAATCTCTTTTTGCCCTATACTGATTAGCACAGGAATTGGTTGGGAAAGGACCGTGAAAAGCAAAACCAAGATTTGAAATCAGTACACACGGTTTTTGACTGATAGTATTAACTAGTTAGAGAGGTTAGCAAGACAGATATATGGTTGGAGAATTTAAGTGATGCAGTTCAAAATCAGTCTCAGTGACACAGAAATATTCATTCTTTCAGTATCCTCTAAATTTCAAATCAAGTAATATTTCATACTTATTTTCATTGTTGAAAGCATGAGTCAATTGAAGCTAGACCACCAGGGAGAACCTGGAAGCACTGGACAGCCGTTTCGTCCTATTATGGTACTCCTCAGCAGTGCGCATCCACGATCCCGCACTTGCGAGATTCGAACCCAGGACCTGCCAGTCTCACACCAGAGCACTTAACCGATAGACCACTGAGCCGGCATCTGATCGTGTTTATGTCTAACTCCAACCAATCCACGTGAAGTGAATCCTGGAGTTCTAGTGAGAAGCAGTGACCAATGGAGTTCAAACCATGTCTATTGTGAGATAGAAGCTCACTGAAGACAATCGGTGAACGGTTGCTCAACTTCGTGGCACTCTTTCAACTATGATAATACTAAATCTCAACAAAAGCACCTTCTGATAATCATACTTATTTCCTATTTCGCTGAGTTGAACACTTGTTAAGTATGATGACGAAATGAAGGTTTTATATATCATATCATTATAATTAATATTTAACTAATCACCTCTTTTCATGTCACCTATTTGTTTATATGACCTGAAAACAAATTTCTATCAGACAATTTAGTTGTTTCAGTGTGGATGTGTCATACATTATTGTTTGTTTCTTTCATCTCACTCTCTTTCAAATAAGTAACCCATTTTATTCTCCTTATCCTCTACCTAACACATACAAGCACATTTCGACTTGTAATTGAGTTATGAGGGGAAAAATAGATAAGTAAATTTCCAAAATTTTAAGTTAATTATAAAATGTACCATTAATAATTAGTAGAATTATTAGTTCATAATCAATTAAGGAAAATTATTTTGCACTGAAAATTCAGTTACCCGAAACTTTTAGTTCATCATTAATAAATCTTTGATTTGAGCTCTATAGTTTGCGTTTATTAAAATACTCTTCATCTGATCGTGATCTCAAATATGGGAAGAAGTAATTTAAGGAAAAAACATATTAGAGCTGCTCAATCAGTCAGTCAGTCACAACGTAGAACTTCGTATGTACGTAAATCAGTTCGAGTTGCCATACCACATTAGTACATTAAAACTGCTCAGTTATGAGTTATTTTCTTTTAGAGTAGTTTTTTCTTATAAAATCTAACGGAAAATAAATCTTGTTCCACTATTTTTCCAAGCTTATCATTTCACTGAGTTTTTTGGTATACTGGTTCCCTAATATTGAATGCAGTTACAAGTGCGTTTTTGGGAAGTGACTAACAGCAAGATTTGGAATATGAGGAATTTTGTCTTATGTGTGGGTTATTTTACCCACTAAACAAGCTCTTGTCTATCTGGATTCAATGGCTTAATAGATAGTGGGTTACGGTTTGAATTTATTAGAAATGGGTTAACGATCAATATCAAGGTGTAGGTACATTTGTCCGATGAATCCCTAGAAGGACAGAATATGCATTAGGGCTTCCACTGTAAATTGTCTGACATATTTGATTTTATAGCTCTGTTTTCATGCAAAATTGGGTACTGTGCATTTAGAAGACCTTATTTATAACTTTCTTGTTGTGTTGAACTATTCAAATTAATAGGCATAATAGCACTTTATTACATTAGTTGTCTTATTGTACTACTAAATGTATGTATAATTTTGCACACAAATAAAAAGAACTTTCTTATGTAACAAGTCACGTTTGTCTTGAACAAAGATTATTCTAAATGAATATATCATAATAATATTCTCTCCTTTTAATGTAAATCTCTAAGAGTTAATTGTAAGCCAATAAATACATGAAGTTCTTGGTAAACTTCATTTTGGTTTTATAAACTTATGCTTCGTTTAAATATAATGAAAAGAACAAGATTTGTAGCATAATATGAATTCATTATATTTCAAGGTTTCTCGGTCAGCTACAAACAGTCCAAATTTATGTTAGTAGTATTACTACAAAACGTTTGTTATTTGATTACCACTCCCGTAACTGGGACATTTGAATAATAGGACGGGATCAATTTTAAGCATAAGCTATTTTGATGTGTTTGAATTTCTATATTTACAGGCGTATGGAAACGAATTCCTACTTGTGATAGGCTATGACAGTGACAGGGAAGTCATACTCACTGCCTTCTCGCGGCGGGGATGTTGTTGAGGTGATCCTGTAAACTTCTCGCAAAAGACAAGAAAGGCTCAAGAAACACTGAGAAGAGTTTTATCCTATCAGCGTTTGACTAGAAGTTTTGCTAAAAATATCACGAAAGTGAAAAGTCACATGTAGAGTTTCTGACTGGCTGATTACTACACTGCTACTATATTTAGTAATATTTCAGAATTTTCAGGAAAACCCAAGGACTTCTAAAATACTATAAAAAACCATATATTTTCTGTACATAAATGAACCCTTGGAGTAAAGTGCTTCTCGCATATTGTGTGCCTTTTCTCTCGTGTTCAAGTCGCTGTGTAAATTTAGCTTAGGGGTTACGAGAATAACTGAGGGACCGAGTATAGCGTTCAATTAGTAAGACTTATCAGATGTTGTTTACGAAATTGAGAGGACGAAAAACTAGTGTCCAGCGCTTTAATCAAGTTGGTGGATATGGAAGACCCAACCCAGGGGAGATGGAAAACTCTGATTCCAAACCACTGGTCCACTGGGTTCCAGGACCCTGAGGGAACAATTGGCGTATGGACCTATTGTTGGTCACCGGCTATCATGAGACCGGATCTCCTGACGTTGCTCTACAGACCAGTGGATTAGACCTTGAGGTCAAGGACTCGGAGAGTGGCACTCTAAGAAAACCATCTGCTTCAGTATGGGCACCCGGGAAATATCTCAACCCTCATACAAGTCAAACGATTTGTGTAGCGCACATATATTTGGTTCCTCTTTGTACCAATGTTTATGTGCTTAAATAAATAAATAAATTCAGCGATGAAAACAATGGTCCAATCAAAAGTTGCTAAATGAGAAGTTCACGTTGCGTCATACAAAAATCTAAATGTGAAGTTCATGCTCTTAACTAATTAACTATCACTGTGAATGCGTTTAACTCCAGGACGAATCAATATGACGTTTATTCAACTGATTTTTACTTCTGAACTCTACTTTAAAAGTAGCCAATTATTCGAAATTTCATTTTACTTATTGTTGGACCTTTGGTGATGTTTATTCTTTTCTAAATAATAACTTGGCCGAAATATACACCTAGTCACACAACTTGATGCTGTTTTAATCTACACATGTTGTTTATATTTTCTGATGTATGTTACATTTTCTATAGATTCTTAACTACTTCTCATCAAACTTATTACATTCTATAAGTAATTACAAATCAGAGGGTACTGGTATTTTCCACTGGCCAAATGGTGTAAATAATAAAGTTCTAATTCCTCGTACATTCGTCATGCGGCCAGGTTTGACACTTTTAATGGGATCTCTTGCTCGTTTAGATGTTTTGAAAGTAAGTTCTTGTATTCTGTTGTCATTTCTAAATATGTTATTTTTGAAATCCAATATCATTTTATGAATACACAATTCACTAAACATTGATGTTAAGAGAAATACTCTTAACCCACTTTCTATGTTTGAATGATACAATTTGTTCTGCTGTCAAGTTAAGATACATAAATTTAGCTTTAAATTAAAGTGACACTACTTGGTAAAAATGCTTCCAAACAACCAACAATTGCTGATAAAAACATTTTTAATAAATGTGATAGACTTCTTTATCTAGTTAGCGGGGCATGGGACAACAGATTAGATTAGCTTATCGTGTCATTGTGTCATTGGCCTTCGTTTCGTTACGCGAAATCGACTTAGTCCGAGCATACCAATGTTAAAAGTAAATCATTCAACATTTTGCCTATGCTAATTTAATAATTAACATTTGGAATTGTAGAGGGATTTGTGTTGATTGCATAATTTTCATTGTTTAATTCACGAACTGATCTTAGTTAAATCACCGGTGAAAACCAGAAGGCATTGGACAGCTATTGTATTTTGGTATGGAACTCCTTAACAAAATACATCTAGGACCCTCCCCCCCCCACTATAACGGATCGAATCATGGACATTCATTCTAACGAGTGAACAATAGCCACTAGACCTCATATCGAAAACAATGTCCAAATCACTAAAATGATTACTATAAGTAACATGAATTATCGTAAATATTTCTAATATTGAATATGCAACTCATATATAGTTCTGTAGTGAACAAAACACTAGTGGGGACAATCGAATGTATTTAAACACAAATTGCAAATTATCTTACTAAATTCTGATAACCATACAGTAAACAGTTAATTTGCAAAATAACAACCAATTGTCTCAATCTTCACTGTTCCTTCTGTGAATATCAGTCCATCTTCTCTAATTCCATTGTTCATGCATTTTCCTACCAAATGCGCTTCATTTCAGTTCTTTCCTTATCGGTCTTCTGCCAAAATACATTCTATGTCTGACCATCGCTATATACTACTTATATGGATATAAGTAGACCACACTACAGTTCGTTCCAATTTCTTCGTTATGATATCAATGATTAAATATGCGTAACCAGTAAGAAATAATGACAATTTTCCTGTTTTTTTTTCTTTACACAAACAAACGATAAAATGCGATTATCATAATTTGTATCACATTTTAATTTCTTTCTGCTTGTTTCTTTATTTACTTTCCTTTTAAGGCTCCAAGTTCTGTTTATTTCACCACTTTTTCTCATCTTCCAATCCATATTGTATCTATAAAGGAAGTTGATGAGTATAGAAGTAGATTTGTCAAATTTCTCATGCCAAAAATTAAAGACAATTCTGTAAATACTGATAATAACTATAAGAATACAGTTGGACCTTGTGGTGTACTACCACCAATGGAATCAAAAAATCTTGATCCCATTAAAACTGTACCTAATTTAGATCAATCTAACATAGATGTTGTTTTATCTGGAGCAGGTGAGTTATTTCTTATTCTCATATCATCGTGAATTTAAATTACATTATATATAGGTATTTAATCTATTCATTTTTAATTAACAGGACGAGGATTTGTGGAATATAGGGATTTTAATAGTTGAATTCATCAGTCGATCTAAGCTAGACCACTATTAAAAACTTGGAAGCACTGGACAGCCTTTTCATCCTAGTATGGGACTCCTCAGTTGTGCTCATCCACGATCCCTCACTAAAGGGACTCGAACCCAGGACCTTCGGTCTCGCGTTGAAATGCTTAAACTCTAGATCATTGAGGTGACATCTGACAGTGTTAATGTCGAACTTCAATTGATTCATGATATTTCTCAACCCTTCATCCATTGTCTGAAGTAGATCACTGTCTCCACTGGCCACGGCTTCTCATGGATCGACTAAAAGTTGAATTGAATTGTCATCACTGCGCCTGAAAATATTGTCAAATCCCGACACTAATAACATAGTATCGCCATTGAATTTCATCGATCGTTCGGAAATAGTAATAATCGAACATGGAGAGTTGTTGAACGTCCTCATCTGGAAGCGACCAGGTTTCATAAGTATAAAGTAAAACTGCTCTTACCGATAAGTTGTATGCATGACACTTAATATATTATCGTTGCTTTGTTTGTGATTGTTTTTAGTAAGGTTTCTAAAAATATATCTTCTGTACTTGGTTTCATTTGTTTAGTAGTGATATCATAACTGAAATATGATGTGGTATTTTGTGTTATGAGTGTTTAATGTAAGTGTTCTAATTTGATTTTATAGTTGTCAATGCCAAGGTCGAACTTGATAGTTTCCTTTGTACTATTTAAACTTGTTTATATATACTTGAAATCATGAGTCAATTGAAGCTAGACCACCGTAGAAAACCTGGAAGCACTGTACGGCCGTTTCTTCCTATTGTGGGACTCCTCAGCAGTGCGCATCCATGATTCCCGCCTCTCGAGATTCGAACCTTGGACCTACCAGTCTCGCGCCAGAGCACTTGACTTGTAGTAATTTTATTTTAGTCATTTATTTACTCTGAAGCAGTACTTTTACTTACTTTACGCCTGTTACCCCTCGTGGAGGAGCATAGGCCGCCCACCAGCATTCTCCATCAAACTCATCCTGGGCAATCCTTTCCTGTTGTTATTCATCCATATCTGCTTATTCCTTCAACTTCCAGGGCAGAGTTTAAATGGTTTGAATTACTTTTTCTGGTTAGCGTTTTTTTTAGCGAGTTAGCTTTTCTACGGGATGGGGTCGCTAACCCCATGCCCAACCCTCCTCCTTTATCCGGGCTTGGGACCGGCAGTACTTCTAGAAGAGCTACATGCGGAGTTGCTCTGAAGCAGTGGCTTACATTAATTCATGAAACATCAAAAATATAGTTTTTCTACTCATTGAATTATCACAAATAGTATATTTATTATCAATTTCATTTCAGTTTTAAGATGATTTACTATATTGTTTTTTTTTCTTATAATTCTAGGATGGATCAGTGTAGCTGGTTTATCAAAGACCAATAAAAAATTACAAGATGAGAAAAATTCAGAAGAAATATCTACTGAAAACAGTGTCGTTGATAATGGTGATGATGATGATGATGATGATGATGATAGTAATAATAATAATGATGAATTGTTTTGTGCTGATATCTTATTAGCAGCATGGACTCCTGGAGCTTTGGGTATATCATTAAGAAAACCTCTAATTCCATATGCAATTAAACGTCGCGGTCATCGTTTAAAATGGTTAAGAGAATTCTCAGGTACACCATGATCTTTATATTTGTGATTAATTTTTTTACTGAATCTCTAAAAAAATAAATGAATTTTCATCACTCAGAATTTAGTTTTCTTATTGTTTTGGGATTAGTAGGTATTTGATTGGAGACAATTTTTCCTTTAGTTGTAAGCGTTTCTGTAACGTGCTCAAAAGTTGTTCGCAGATTATCAACTCATTAATAACTATTTATATTGTAGTATTCTAATTACTTTGGATTTTGTTGATTGGTTAAATGTTTCTATTTCGTAAATTTATGTCAGTCAATAGAGATTATGAAAGAAATGCGTGTATTTTAGGTATTTGACGAAACAAATTGCAAATCTGTCTAGAATGTGATCTGGTAGTTACAAATGGATCAATATATGAATACTGGAAAAGATCATAGACACACATGAATGTAATATATTCAAATATATATTAACAGAGTACGTAATCGCGTAATTAACATTTATCCTTTAATCCAAATACCACAATCTAGAAAGTTTTTCATTCTTCAAAACTGAATACCGTGTGATGTCTAATTAAAAATGATAAATACCATAGCATCTAATTGGAAGTATTACAATTGTAATACTACTAGTAATAATGTATTTTCTAAAAAAAACAATTACGGCATACATCTGAATTTCCATTCACAATTACCGTAATGCAATCAAAAATTTACTGATATTTTCAGAAGGGGTTTTGTCTAGATTTCAGTATTTTTCTTAGTTGGAATCATGAGTCAATTGAAGCTAGACCACCATGGAAAACCTGGAAGCACTGCTTGATGGCCGTTTCGTCTTATTATGGGACTCCTCAGCAGTGCACATCCACGATCCCACACTTGCGAGATTCGAACCCGGGACCTACCAGTCTCGCCCCAGAGTACTTAACCGATATTTCATAATTGATATTTCATTATGTATATTGTACACACTAAAATAAATGCAAGATTGTAAATACGAGAAGTATCATTGATTATAGTAGGAGTATTTATAGAATATAAGAAGGTAACCAGGAAAGTCGTACGTGATGTTCAGCTTATAAACAATTTTTCCTATTTTGACAACTGTTGACTCATTTCAACCAATCGCTTTTATAGTAATGACTGGAAGTCTTTCTTCAGGAATCCTTTTGAAGTTTAAATAGAGGCTAGATCACGTTGTTATGAAGTAGGAATTTGATGGGAGCAAAATATGCATCAAACGATCGTCTAGAGTTAACTCATCTCATTTAAGCCACTGCTAACTAAAATGGTGGTGCGAATGTAGCATTCTGTAAGTTAGCTTGCATTCCGATGAGCAACCAAACATGATTATTACAATGATAAATAGAGTACTGTTAAGTACAGTCTTTAATCCTAGAAACCTTTGTTTCTTGTTCCATTGTCCTTTAATATCATGCCTATTCATGAAATAAATGATGCCCAAACAGGAACTTCAAGTACTCAATTCTTTTGCAGTATTGAGTTCAAATAACTATAAATTTTATGAATATATCCAGAAATACTATCTATTATTAGGGTTATATGCTTTACTTGTCAAGACATCATTTATATCGACATGTGATATTGATTAGAAGAGAATCAAGACGCACAAACCCGGGAGTGACCAAGTTACAACACAACATTAGTTAGTAAGTTCGCTTACTGTTGCTGTTATGTAGCGAAAAACACGTCCAAAGTAAACTACGCGAGTTGAAAAAAACCAGTAGTCACGGACTTTTCATTTTACGTTTAAATTTCTATCACAATCCTACAAATACATTTTGTTTTCTAAATCTTCACTAGTTAACTTCTGTTCGTTTGTCTTTTCTCGGACAACTAATTTCTTTTCTATGTTGTAGCAAGTTATGACACAACGAACTAATATCCCATAAATTTATGTTCTGTAGTACTGTCTATCAGAATTTGTCAACCTTTGTACCTTGGATATTTTCTGTACACAATTCCACATAATTGATTAACTTAGGTTCAACAGTGTTACATTCGAAGCTTAGTTACTTAACAATATAAGGTGACTATCTCTAAGAACTCTCAACGTGTCTTATACTAGAAGACCATGATTTCCCAATGAAACAGGTAGACAAAAATCAAATAGGAAAACATGAAATTCGATCGGTTGTAAGGTGTATGGAAATCGAATGCATTAATCACTAATTCCTAATGAAGTGAGATTACGCACTAGACAGTAGTGCTTTATAATTATTTATTATTATTATTATTGCCATCATTAATCCCTTGTGTTGTACTATGTTATAACGTGTACGTGAGCGTGCCCAGTTGTTATATTGATTGGCTCGCTTATTAGAGAACAGTGAATTTATCGATCGGACCAATGATACACAAAAGCGTTATGAGCAGTCTTGATTACTTGTCAGTCCTGCTATCTGCCTAGCCTAGCCAGTTAAGTCCAGAACACCAATAATAGCCTCTGCAATATGAATCATTATTCTCAAACATACTGGGTTTATATGCTAGTCAAACAGACCACAACGTACCATAAAATAGAAAATAACATGTGTAAAAGATTTGGCCAAATGTGGCTGTGAATATGGGGGAACAGTGATCAATAGACTGGAGATAACTAAAGAATGGTAAATCGTATTATAATGGTCTATAGGTCAAAATAAAGCTCATAATAAAAGAGACACGAATATGAATAGTTTGGTTACTCAACAACTATAAAATAGGAAATATACATATCATATTGGCGTAAGATGGTGGTTGGAGGTGGTCAACAGGAAACCCTGGACCCGGGTTTCGTGCTATTTGGCGCTCGTCAGCAAGGTGTACCTGTAATCTTGAGGGAACTGATGCTCCCTGTCGGATTCGATCCCGTGTCACTCAGCTTCACAGTCAGAGACCAATCAATTGTGATTACATCTCAGTCCTACAGGAGGTCGGTCACGGCCCGAATAGCTCAGTGGTAACGTCTCTGATTGTAAAGCTGAGTGACACGGGATCGAATCCGACAGGGAGCGTCAGTTCCCTCAAGATTACAGGTACACCTTGCAGACGAGCGCCGAATAGAACGAAACCCGGGTTCAGGGTTTCCTGTTAACCACCTCCAACCACCATCTTACCTCAATATATATAGTGCACACAGTGCCGAGCCACCTAGACTGGTGGCCACATTGCAACTTGATCGATAGCATTCAATCAGCTCTAAGAAGGACTTGACACGCATGACATTGATCACCACCCTGTGATCAATCAATTGTCATATCATATTGGCCCATAAATAGTTCTCAAGGTTACCATTCATAAATCTCCACGGGATATAACATACTACCATCTCTTTGACCATATTTATGACATGGAATAATACATTACTTTAACAATGAATGAGAAGGAAATGATTTGCTGAAACTCGAAGTGAGACAAAACACCAAAATTACAAAAAAATCATGGCAAATTGTCACTAGTTATTATTCAACATATATCTATATGGGAATATTGTAGGGTTTTTGGGAAATAATACCAATGAATAATGTGACCAAAACAAATTTTTCGATCTAACATTGAGAGTACTTAACAGTTGAATTAAAGTATGAAATATTGCTGTGGCAAAAAAAGAAAGGAAAAGGTTTACATAAAGTTATTTGATCTTAAGATTATTCTCAACAACATCTGCCGAAAAATAGTAGAAGAACTGTTATGCTATTTCAGACTTCTCGACGGTGTAGATTCATGGTATACATTGAACGGGAATTCAGCCACTTTATTGAAATCAATAAATTACTGAACTTCTGCAAATGTTATATTTAAAGACTGACGTTTAATCCACTGATGAACATTTGTCTTCGTTCTCAACTTAGGTCTAAAGATCATAGATTTTCACTAGTATGTGTTGTGACATTCACTTCTAAAGAATTCACTACTAAGCATGGAATTTTAATGCTTCTGAAGTTTGATTGGTACACTATTTACATTCATCAAGGAAATATATTAATTGTGAAAGCGCTGAAAACTAGAGAGCTTTATAAAGCGTTGATTTACAAATGACTAGTTATTTTTAATCGAATTCCTAAGAAAGACGAACTCATATATAAATTAGGAATAAAGTTAAGCATTACTTTCAAATGATTATGCAGTTTTTAGCTATAATTTCTTTAATAGCGTGTCTATACTGTTCAATAAACTGGTAGTTTGACGTAGATGTATTTCATATGAGTAGATTTACGGTTATTCAATATATATATAACTCCGCCTGTAGCTCTTCCAGAGTTACTGCCGGTCCCAAGCCCGGGTAAAGGAGGAGGGTTGGGCATGGGGTTAGCGACCCCATCCCGTAGAAAAGCTAACTCGCTAAAAAAACGCTAACCAGAAAAAATAATCCAAACCATTTAAACTCTGCCCTGGGAGTTGAAAGAAGAATCCTGACGCCTCATGATGAAAGCCGAAATTCTTCGGAAGTCACGAGACCGATGCACCTTCTAACAACCAGAGCAACACTTTATAGGCACATGGAACGTCCGGACGATGTGGGAGACAGGAAAAACCAGCCAAATAGCAATGGAAATGAGGAGATACAACTTGGCAGTACTCGGAATCAGCGAAACCCATTGGACACAAGCTGGACAACAAAGGCTAGGTACAGGAGAGATGCTGCTGTACCCCGGTCACGAAGAGGAAAATGCTCCACACACTCAGGGAGTTGCTCTAATGCTGTCCAAAGAAGCACAAAATGCACTTGTGGGATGGGAATCTCATGGACCCAGGATAATCAAAGCATCATTCAGAACAAAGAAGCCAGGGATCAAAATGAACATTATCCAATGTTATGCACCCACTAATGATAGCAACGACGATGATAAAGATCAGTTCTATGAAATGCTGCAATCAATTATAGAGAAGTGCTCACGAAAGGACCTCACAATCCTGATGGGAGATCTAAATGCTAAAGTTGGAGTGGACAACACAGGATATGAAGATGTAATTGGACGACATGGACTAGGAGAGAGAAATGAAAATGGGGGGAGACTTGCAAACCTATGTGCATTCAACAAATTGGTTATAGGCGGCACAATATTCCCACACAAACGTATACACAAAGCTACATGGATCTCACCGGACCACACCACAGTGAACCAGATTGATCACATCTGTATCAACAAAAAATTCCGAA